AACCACACAGGCACTTGTCTCAGAAAAAAAAATTAAGGTATATATTCTGAGACAAGTGCCTGTGTTCAACCAATGTAACTTAACATGTCGTTGAACATTCCATACCTCACTGAAAACCCCACCCATCATATACGTAATATATTTCATCCATTTTAACTAATACAAGCTTGTACCAGAAACATTTAGATAGACAGATTTGAGAGAATACAAATAGCTTCATTTCCTTTCATTTAATCTAAGTACACATACTTATTCAAAATATATAATTTTCATCCCGTGTTATTATCCTGTAAGCAACAAATATATTTCAACATAAGAAATTAAATTATGTGAGGTTACATTTTAGCATTCTGTGGGGTAGGAAATGTACAGGTGAGCGGAAATGCTAAAATGGACATTTCATATATACTAGTATGTTAGACAATTCTTAGTCATGTTTAATGCATATCTAAAACCCAAGTCGTAGGACAAGGGTTTTAAATGTTCATAAAACATGACAAGTATTGTCTGACCAATTTAGAACATTTTTACTTATACATCCCGCCATTGACATTGTGCTATTGTTCCATGATAATTTTTGTATTTTTGTCATTCATTTTTGCTAATATGCTTTGTCTATATGCCTTTTTGTGTTTCTTTGTTACATATGACGTGGCTCTGTACTTATGTATACATCCCGTCATTGTGTTATTGTGCCATGGTAAATGTTTGTTTACATATTTGTTTGTTTTTATATTGATTAAGATAATAACACAGTGTTGAATGCTGTACCCCTATTTTTGACATTTTTACCTATTATGTTTATAAAAAAAGAAGATGTGGTATGATTGCCAATGAGACATCTCTCCACAAGAGACCAAATGACACAGAAATTAACAACTATAGGTCATCGTTTGTTTGTTTGTTTTGTACACGCATCGTTGTCAATATAATGGAATTGTATGCTACTGTCTTACAAGTGAGAGGTTTAGCTAGCTGATAAAACCATTTTCTACATAAGAAAATGCCTGTACTCAGTCAGGAATATGACAGTTGTTGTCCATTCGTTTGATGTGTTTGAGTTTTTGAGTGATATTACAAACTAATCCTTTTCCATTGTAAAGGTAAAACCTCAACAAGTTTTTACTTTTGATAATGAAGTGTATTGCATATGGTAAAATTTATTACTTGTGTATCTTAAATTTCTTGATTATGAACAGCGCTCAATGTTCTATTAATCAGCTTTTTGAAATTTGTATAAATTTTAATAATTATAAAAAAAACTAACTCATTAAATATGACAATTATGATCATTAAACATCAGATGCTTACCTTTTATTGATGAATGTCCATGTATTGGTTATTTGGAAAAGGTTCCTTTGTTTTATATATAAACAGTCATTGTTTTCTTTGAGAAAAAATTACGGACTCTAAGATCTTGAATAAAAATTAGATTGACGATTTTTTCTTTCATCTCTTTTTTGGTTCCATAAATGTACCATTATTAACGTTTACAATATTCAAAATATTTTTATAATTCCATTCTCCTTAATCTTTAATCAGTAGGCCGTTTTCCTATTGATATTGCCTCAGGGGATTTTACATTAAATTATTGTAGTTATTAAGAGTTCACTTTCATAACAAATCTACAATGAAAATTCATTCATGAATAGCATTTTATAGAGCATGGAAAGCCATGTACAATGAAATTTAGAATATAGCAAAGTGCTCTCGACCAATGAAATTGTAGGATTTGATGCGTGAAGAATGAATGTAAATCATGTTCATAGTAAAGGATTATCCTGTTATTTGGGTCTATCTACTGTTCAAAACAAAGAGTTTCTATAAATGAGTTACAACTGCCCCGAAGCACATTTATCAGATTGAAAGGATTTATCACACAGTGATTGAAACTGACTAAAAGTTGAATTTTGAAACAAACAAAAAACTCAAAATAAGTTAAAGTTTACTGTGCAGTAAATTTGGTACCGTGAATATTATTATGAAAATATTAAAAACTTCAAATTACTAAATAAGTAAACAATATCAAAGCATATGCAAAAAAAGAGAAAAAAACTGCTTTAAAATAAAAAAAATACCTTAATCTTTAGTTTTCCAAAAACTTTGATCACTGGATCAGCGGTTGGGAAGAATAGTTATTTCCAATATTTCGATAAAATAAAATAAACTGCTTCGCTGAGTGCAGCTAGATACGCCCGCAGAGGTCCAACCCTGAACAGTTGGGGCAAAAATTGACACAATATTGAAGCTTGATTCAGGTCTGAATTTGGATTGTAATTAAATATTTGACATATTATAGGTTTCTGAATAAATGTAGTCAAAGAACTTGAAATGGGTTATATGAATTTATATTCAATTAAAGATTTCTTGCTGTTGTGCAATACTAAGTAAATCTGTTGTCAGACTATCAACAAATAAAGTTCAATTAATTCTCAATGTCATATTAGAAATTTATGAAAATAAAAAAAGAGCTTACATCAATAGATATAAACAATTCACCAAAGTTTCATGAGAATTGGTGACAGCATTATCGAGTTATTGTCCGAAAACTGGAAAATCACCACTTTTTTTAATGAATAAAACCCCATAACTCAGAAATGTAAAATGTTAAATTTATAAAATTCTAAAGGGAGCTTACATCAATACATACAAACAATTCACCAAAGTTTCATAAGAAGTGCTGAAAGCATTTTTGAGTTTTTGTCTGAAAACTGGAAAATCCCCCCTTTTTATGGATAAAACCCTGAAACCTCGGAAACGTTAACTCTAAAATTTATAAAAATCGAAAGGGAGCTCATGTCAAAAGATATAAACAATTCACCACAATTTCTTGCAAGTTGGTGAAAGCATTCTTGACTTATTGTCTGAAAACTGGAAAATCCCCCTTTTTTTAATGAATAAAACCCCATAACTCGGAAACGTAAAATCTAAATTTTATAAAAAACGAAAGGGAGCTCACGTCAATAGATATAAACAATTCACCAAAGTTTTATGCAAATTGGTTAAAGCATTTTTGAGTTAATGTCCAACCTGTTGACAACGGACAGATGGACGGACAGACGGACGGACAGACGGACGGACGGACAGATGGACAACGGTATTCCATAATACGTCCCGTAAACGGGCGTATAAAAACAAAACAAAACAGGAATTAAACTTTTAAAAACTTTTAAAGGCACTTTATTTGAACATTTCCCTGATATAATAAAATAGTATTTGATGTAAAAAGCCGGACGAAAATATTGGCTGTTAAATAAAATTTATTTTAAATGTATAAATTGATTTAAACTGTAAATTAAAAAAAGGATAATTCATCACTAAAATATTACATGATTTACATCATGTACATTCATACTCACAATCAGGAAACCTATACAATTCCTACATTTTCTTTGTTCTGTTGTGCTACCTAATATGTATAACGCATTTTTTTTTAAATATTTCCCAAATAATAAGAAAGTCCTTTCATCACTAAAAGTAATCCATAAATGAAATGCCTAAAAAGGAAGTCATGCATTAAATATAAACATTGCACTGACAATGAAACTAATTATTAAATACAACCAATTTAGAGATCATTTAAGCCTTGAGCACTTTACAATATTCTAAGTTTGTAAGAGAATGATAATCCCTTACTTCATGATAAGTACTCGCTAATGCTCGAACTAATCATGAAGAAAGCGATTATTATTCTCTTACATATACTTAGAAAGGAAAAAACTATTTTTTGATTAGACGAAAAGGGGTGAGTATGTTCTAAACATTTAACAAAATCAATAACAATGCATGTTTGCATTTCAGAAATAAATGAATTGACATACTAATTACAACGTAATATATCCTTTTCATTTACACCTGTGTGTCAATAGACAACTTTCCAGTTTGATGCATTTCCGTCAAAAACTTTGATTTTAGTGAACATCATTCGTGCGTTTAGGGGCATCGTCACTTCGGTTACCATGTTGAGAGAGTGGTTGGAAAACTATGATGCTATATTGCACGAATCATTCAGCAAATTCAATTCTCATCAATTGACAATCAGCCTTGCTATCATTAGGGAATTGTGATTAAGTACATACAGAACAAACATTATTTCTAGTTTATCCTTCACAATGAGGATCACTAAGACGCTTGCTGAACGTTAATAGTGCAGGGATACAGGCGATCCCCTTTTTCTGGTAAATGACGTCATAAAGGCCACAGATTTTTAATTGACGACTTTCTTCAGGTGAAGGACAAACTGGAAACTGGTCTATTGAAGTAGTTTGTAAAATGGTATACATATCCATGGTTACAATTTGATTCTATGTCTAACATGTTTAATGGGTAAGTTTTAAAAATACCTGCAGCAATTTCATTCTATGTGTATGTGCTTATTATCCCCAATATAAGCAATGATGAAAATTGTGAGTTATGAATCATCTCTACAAAAATGTATTATTACATAAATATTTTTTGCCTTTTGGATTTTCTTTGTTGACATATTTGTTTGCTTTGATAGTGATTAAAATTATAACACAGTGTTGTCTGCTTAACCCCTATTTTTGACATTTTTACCTATTATGTCTGTTCATTTTGTTCACACATTGATGTCAATATAATGGAATCTTTATGCGTGACTGTCATACAAGTGAGAGGTTTAGCTAGCTATAAAACCAGGTTCAATCCACCATTGTCTACATCAGAAAATGCCTGTACCAAGTCAGGAATATGACAGTACAGAGTTTGGTATTTAAATTATTTAATTTTGGCATCCATTTGCTTGATGTGTTTGAGCTTATGATGTTGCCATTTGATTAGGGACTTTCCGTTTTGAATTTTCATCTGAGTTTGGTATTTTTGTTATTTTACGTGAGAGGTTTAGCTAGATATAAAACCAGGTTCAATCCACCAATTTCTACAGCAGAAAATGCCTGTACCAAGTCAGGAATATGACAGTTCTGAATATGCTTTATGCTGTGCATGTTGAGCATGCTGAGTGAGTAAATAAAAAACTCCTAAAATATTTATCTTTAATTTAAAGTGACTCAATATTTCACATCTCATTGTTTTATCTTAAATAGCAATAATTTAAAAGACTATTATGAATTATAAAGATCAGAAGCACTTAGAACTGTGTGATCATTATAATGTTTTAACTCTTGCCAAATTATCAATACTGTCTGAATGTGAGCATGGTCAGGAATCCTCAAGGTTACCTGTAATATAAAAATAAATTGAATCCTTGAATATTTTTAATACCAAGTTCCATTCATCAAATATGTTCATTACAAAATTTAAACATAAAAATTAAATGATTCAGTTATTGAAAAAATAAATTGTTAAAAAAAAAATCTTCATACAAAACAAAATTAAATGGATTTACCCCCCCCCCCCCCCCACCACCAACATTTATTTTTTTATAAACTTGGTTCACCTCATTGGTGATAACATTTACACACATGTATATAAAACAGTTTAATTACATGGTTCTCTTGGAAGTTTTTTTTTTGGCTTGGAAGCTCACAAAACAACTAATGTTTTTTAACATAAAATTCAAATAAATTGATTACACAAAATGCGTTTTTAGTTTCTTTTATGATCAGGGTTCTCACTAGGAATTTTTCATGGTGAGTCCTGGGACTCTTCACTTTTAGAAATGGTGAGTCCCAAAAGATTTTCATGAATCCAGGATGCATGTATTTTTTTGTGCCTTAATATAATGAAATACAGTCAGGAGTACTACTTGTACAAGTAATTTTTATTTACTTGAATAAGTAAAAAAAAATATACTTATATAAGTAAATTATAATGTTTAAATAATCTCCCCTTAATTTTCTCAAAAAATTACTTATACAAGTAAATTTTTTTTACAATTCCACCAAAATTCTCAAGTTTTGAGATGTAAAATCATGACTATAATGATTTTTCCCAGGTTAGCTCATAATTTTTTATTAAAGTTCAATGTTTCATCTCATTAATTCAACAAAGAAACTGATTGCCCAAAGATCTTAAGTATTTGCGCAAAGCCTTCAAAAATTGCTCCTTTGGGGCTTGTAAATGACCAGTGTTCTGAAGATAACAGACAAATGGGATTTTCATTGTCCATGAAATTACACTCAAATGATTAGTAAAGACATTTGCAATGGGCAGACAAATTAAAATTCTATTAGAGCAAAGAAATCCTAAGAATTTAAGAAATGAAGATAAGATTACTTTTTCACTTATATAAGTAAAAAAATCTGAATGTCTAAGGGACATAACTAAGTCAATTTTTTTTTACCTATACAAGTAAATAAAATTCACTTGTATAAGTATCCTACAAATTTACTTATATAAGTATATTTTTTTTACTTCGTAAAGTAAATAAAAATTACTTGTACAAGTAGTACCCCTGACTGAAATATGACGAAATAAAACTAAAACGATGCGTGTTTGCCATGGATTGGTAGTTTTTATTATATCAATAAAATTTATGATCTCTCAATAGTTATTGTTCATTACAACATATATATAACAGACTTCTTTCTATGTCTATCAATTCTTGGTTTTGTGGACATTGACTCTTGGTCTTTTACTTGGAACTGATGATTCAATGTCATCAAGTTTCCTTTTGAAGACGGACTTTAACTTTGACTGACTCATTGTGATACTTTATTTAATAATTCAGTTAATAATCACGTTGATGTTGCATCATTATAATTATCATAGTCTTTAATAAAAACAAGCAAATCTAAAGTGAAAACTGTTCATAATAATGAGCATTGATGAGTTTGGCTTTAAACTTTTTTAAATCCGATCTGTTTCAATTTCAAAACATTTTTTACCTTTGTTTACGATCGCGATGTTCAACATGCACAATACGAGAAAATGTTAAATTATTTGAAGACCAGTAAAATTATTTTTAACCGTAAAATTTTATATCTACACTGTTCTACGATCACTATATTTTATGCATAGTAGCAACAGTTATGAAATATTATATCATATCATTTCAAATTCTCAAACAAAATTTACTTTTTTGTTTCAATCGATATGTACGTGATGTTCAACAAGTGGAAATATTCACGCTTTCCAAATACTAGTAAATTTTTTTAAAATCGGTGATGATTACATATTAATTAATTAGTTTGAACAGAATTATTATATTTTAGGATGAAATACATTTAATTTAAAAAAAATAGTTATCATTCTACAAAAATATTGATCTACGCATCACATAAATTTTTCAACATAGACTTCCGCTTTAGTTTCTCGTCAAAACAATGTCGACAATCATGAATCTTCTAGGCAAAACGATGTGTTTGGGACTCAGGGGATACAATGAGACGCGTCCCAAGGACTCACGGGTTTCAAAAATGACGGGTCCAGCTCGATTTTCATGCGTCCAGGACACGTATACACGTCTTAACATTGCTTAACGAGAACCCTGATGATGCAATGGTCTATAAAAAAGCTAATAAAGAGTTTTATCTGTGTATTCCACTACAAACTAGTAAAAGTCTGAAATGGCCTATATTTGTACTCGACTGTACTGATTTTTACTCGACCAGTCTGAATTGGTCTGAAATTTACTTGATAATACTCGACTGTAGTCTGAACCATACTTAACAGTCTGAACTTGTACTCAACCTTTACTCGACCAGTACTTTACCATTTTATTTTCGTCTGAACCATGCTTGACCTAGTCTGAACCATGCTCGACCTAGTCTGAACCATACTCGACCTAGTCTGAACCATACTCGACCTAGTCTGAACCATACTCGACTAAGTCTTAACCAACCTAGACCTAATTTTTGTATCTATCTATTGTATTTCATCAATTTAGGAACTGTTTTTAACAGCTATTTCCCCTGGCTAGAAATTTGAACAACAATTTGAAAGTTCAAATGAATTCAATAGGGCATTGAAACCAAAATTTCACAATTAACATAATATAAATTCAACACCATATTTATCAACATTTACATATATATATCACCTTTTAAAATAATCTCAAAACTGAATTGTGACTAGTATTTTCAATGTTATTAAATTTTTTTTTAATGTTTCAGATATATTTTATGGTGTCTGGACAATTTTCAACATTTACTTAAGCCTTGTATAGATTTATGGTGTCAGTTGAGTTTAGTTAATAATGCAGTGAACATTTTTTTTATTAAAATATATTTAAAATAGTATATAAAGCAACTTAATAAATTTTAAAAATCACACCTTTGTTTTGTAAAACCAAGAATTTAATATAATCATAATAATAGAACTTCCATAGCAATTCTTGATAACCATTTAAAAAAGGAAATGTGTTCCAAAGTTGCAGAAAAAATTTATTTCAATTAAATTTAAATAACTTTTATCAAAATTAAAGACATGGCATACAAGAAGCACTTTAATAAGGTTTAATTACCTCAGTACATGTGTGTTTTACATGTAAAAAGAAAGCCCTTTTTTTCTTAAACTTGTGTATTACTTATCTAGTGAATTCAAAAGGCCTTGCGATTTGAGTTTTACAGGATGTTGCAATTTTTAATGAATGCTAATTAGAAAGTAATACTCTCTGACCAGGTGTGATCTTTTTAATGAGTTTGCCCCAAGCAGGAGGTATTACTTTATACTTTACCATTAATCAGAAGAAAATTTTTCTTTAATTTTTTATCCCTTTTTGATATATATTATATATAATATATCCCAAATTATAATAAGAATAGATATATTTCTAATATAAGGTTAAACAATTTCAGTGATTTTTTGGCTGTTGTTTCCCCATTAGAAAGATAATTATATAACTATTGTATGTAACCATGAAACTTATATAGTTTTTCTTTAGGAATTTAGGAAAATTAAGTTTAAAAAAAAAAAGAAGCACCTTAATAAGGTTTTATTACCCTCAGTAAAGGTGTGGTATTTAGTTAAAAGAAAATCTTTTTTTTAACAAAACTCTAAAACTTTAAAATTAATATAATTAAATTATTATATAAGATAATTTAGTTTAACTATCTCTATTTGATAAATCTGAGAATCATGTAAGGATGTAAAAATATGTTTTTATATATATCTTTATTTTATTGTGGCTGTTGTCATGTCAGAAAAAAAGAAATTAATTTAAACAGCTAAAATTAAAAAAAAAGTATAGGTTTTTTGGTCAAGTATGGTTCAGACTGGTCGAGTATTGTTCAGACCTTTGGTCGAGTATGGTTTAGACTGAAAAAATTGGTCGAGTACAGGTCGAGAATCGGTTAAGACTGTTTCAGACTGGTCGAGTAATAGTTCAGACTATTTTCAATGGCAAAAATAAGGGTCAAGTACAAATCAGTACGGTCGAGTATGGTTAAGACTGGGGTCGAGTAATGTCGAGTAAAATTCAGACCAATTCAGACTGGTCGAGTAAAAATCAGTACAGTCGAGTACAGACATAGGCCATTTCAGACTTTTACTGGTTTGTAGTGTTCATTAATCAAATTTAAAAACTTTTAAAACCTTTTTTTTTTAAATGTTGCTCTTCATGGTTTAAAATGTTTCTTGGAAAATGGTTCTATGTAATATACATGTACAGGACTCACACTACAAAAAATTGTCTTTATGAAATAATATTCAACCAACTGTATAGTCACTGCTTTAACCTCTTTTCAAAAGAAAATAATTCGTTTATGTCTTTGAATTTCTTTACTTTAAAATAATAAATTGCCGTTTCCTCAACTTGGTAAAAATTGAAAATTGACCATGAGGAAAGTGACTGAAAGCGAGTTTTGTGAACAACAGGGAGACTATATATCGCTTTCATGGCTTTTGACGGTCAGGCAAAGTGAGTTAACGGATAGGAAAGCAACTTTATGGCCCCCAGTCACCTGTAAGCGTTAGCCCTAATATAAATATACATAAATAAATAAATGTGGATAGTGTCCACATGTGGACACAGATGATGCCCCCGCTTGCATATCATATAGTTATAAAGGGACATAACTGAAGAACAGTAAAAGTGACGCTACCCAAATTTGAACTTGATCTGAGTTTTGTGTGTAAGTCTCATAACATTTGGTTGAAGCTAACTTAAGTAGAGAACAGAAACTAAAAATTCCGCAATTTTTCTATTTATAAAGGGGCATAACTCAATAATGGTTAAAGTGACGCCACCAAAATTCAAACTTGATCTGTGTTTTGTGGTAATAAGCCTTGTGTATAAGTTTCATAACATTTGGTTGAGGCAAACTTAAGTTAGAGAACAGAAACTAAAAATTTTGCAATTTTTCCATTTATAAAGGGGCATAACTCTAGAACGGTTTAAGTGACGCCACCAAAATTCAAACTTGATCTGTGTTTTGTGGTAATAAGCATTGTGTATAAGTTTCATTTGGTTGAGGCAAACTCAAGTTAGAGAACGGAAACCAATTTTGGGACGTACGGACGGACGTACATACGTACGTACAGACGGACAAGGGTAAAACTTAATGCCCCCACCGCTACGGCGGGGGCATAAAAACATGCATGTAGCTACTAGTACTGTAAAACAAGAATTAGACAGAAAATAATTCAACTAGACATCAGTGGAAGAAACTTTGTGTCTGTTCTTATTTGGGCATGTTGGGAAAGTCATAATGAGATGATATTTATAAAAGTACCTTTTTTGACAAGTTTTTCTGGGGTAACCAGTCCTTAAGCAGTTAAATAAGCATAGAAATTTGCAGTAATAATAAAAAATTTACCCTGCATCAAAGATTCATCAATGGCCGTTTCCATTTCCTCCTGTGACATTTCTGAACTAATTTGATTTGATTGCACATCTTCATTTTCTTTATGGTTTAGTTTTATACTATAATGTTCAAGTTGGGAAGAATCGACATCATCATTTGAAAAAGTAATTTGCATATCTGCAATAGACTGTGAGTTATCAATCTGCATATCTGTGCAATCTGATGAAGAATAAGCCAGAGAAACATTATCGTCTGATGTAATTTGTCCGATTTGAACAGGATGAATATTACCGTTAGAAAAGCTAAACAAGTTGTTTCCTACTCCAGAAATTGGTATAATTTGTAATCCATTGACAGAGTACGGTATTTGAATGATTCCAGTCATGTCTCCAGATAATGTGTTTATTTCAAGTGGCGCCACCTGTGACGATGTCCCACTTATTTGACTTTCTGAAGGTAAAGGATCAATCTGCAAATGAGATGTTTCACTTTTTCTTTTGATTCCTAGCTCAGTTGTCTGAATGTGTGTTTGTGACTGAGATTCTGAAATTTCTGAATTTTCTGATTTTGGAATTATATTGCTCATATCATTGTTTCCTTCTTCACCAATTTGTGATGTATTTTCTATCGAGTTCATGCTCTGATCTAAATTTTCACAACCTATATGTTGACCTAGATTTTCTATTGTATATTGAGAACTAATGCCATCTTCTGACTGTAAACCGTCAATTGAAAGATTTGGTACAGAATTAAAACTTGTCACTAAACTGTCACTTGTACTAAAACTTGGCATAAAATTGTCAACAGAGGAAAAATTATTTTCATCTGTGTTTACATCGTTAGTTTCATCAGGTTTTTGATCAGTCAGTATTTTTTCAGATATTGATGTAACTGCTTGGTCAATTTGTTGCTGAAAAGAAAAAAATACACCAAATAAAGACATTTAAAGTTTACAGGACATTTGTTATACAATGCACCCAGCATAACATGACATTGGTTATCATTCTATTTGCCTGTTTTAAAATTCTTCAAAGAAACCTAAATCCAAAACTCGAACAACTGCACTGAGATATCTTTTTTTGAAATTAGTTTTGTCGAAAATATATCAGATATGCTAGATTGATATCAATTTATGACAGTTTATAACACTTATCAAATGTAAGTAACTTTACATAGTAATTCAATGAAAAAATATCTTTAAAAATGACCTGACCAAAAGAATATGAAAATGTGGTCAATGCCTATGACAGAAATCAGAAGGAAATATATTTCGATGTCTTTTGGCTATTTGTATAGTCTCTGTCTCATTGAAATATAACCAACATCTCCTTTTATTCATGGTCCCAACAAATTCACATTCCAGAAGTAGAACGGTCTCTCAATTCATAATGTTTTTACTGGAACAAATTTTAACAGAATTCTATTTTAAACAAAGTATATTGGTCTTTGGGGGATTTTATATGTCCTCTTACCCTCCAATATCCATTTTATTGGAATAAGTCGAAAGTGAATAATTAATAGAAATATATTTATCTAGAATATCTCACAATGCCAAAGACATTTTGCTCAGTGCAGTAGTCTTTACAATATTTGAATTATAGAAAGAAAAGATAAAAACATTCTTACCTGTAAAAGTGATCCTGCTGGGAACATATTTGGATGTAGTCTTGACAACAACTGAGCAGTCTCAGGAGTCAAGGTTGTACTCACTCTGGTGGTGCCATCACTAAGATGTGTTTCTATTCTAGATATTACATGATGGCCATCTATAAAAGAAATAGGATTAGTTAATATTCAATACAAGAGTGCACACGCTGAAATGTCTCGCCTACTATACTGACCATTGATTTTATGTTGATAGTCCTAAATATAAAGTTTTACTACAAGTATCATATTAACATTTCTGATCCAAGAAAATGAGGTCAAGGTCAGATAAACCAAGCCGGAAATACATGTACACCTTTAATACAATCATTCCATACACCGAATATAGATGACCTATTGCTTATAGTATAAAAGAAACAGACCAAACCATGGAAAACTGAACATTGACCAATGAACCATGAAAATGAGGTGGAGTTCAGATGATACCTGCCAGACAGACATATACACCTTACAATCATTCCATACACCAAATATAGTTGACCTATTGCTTAAAGTTTAAGAAAAACAGACCAAAACACAAAAACTTAACATTGAGCAATGAACCATGAAAATGAGGTCAAGGTCAAATAAAACCTGCCAGACTGACATGTACATCGTAAAATATTTCCACACACCAAATATAGTTGACCTAATGCATACAGTATTAGAAAAACAGACCAAAACACAAAAACTTAACATTGAGCAATGAACTGTGAAAATTAGGTCAAGGTCAAATAAAACCTGCCAGACTGACATGTAGATCGTAAAATATTTCCATACATCAAATATAGGTGACCTATTGCATACAGTATTAGAAAAACAGACCAAAACACAAGAACTTAACTTTTATCACTGAATCATGAAGATGAGGTCAAGGTCAGATGACACCTGCCAGTTGGACATGTACACCTTACAATCATTACATACACCAAATATAGTAGACCTATTGCTTATAGTATCTGAGATATGGACTTGACCACGAAAACTTAACCTTGTTCAATGATTCATGAAATGAGGTCGAGGTCTGGTGAAGACTGTCTGACAGGCATGAAGACCTTGCAAAGTAAGCACATACCAAATATAGTTATCCCATTACTCATAATAAGAGAGAAACTAACATTACAAAAAATTTTAACTTTTTTTTCAAGTAGTCACTGAACCATGAAAATGAGGTCAAGGACAATGGACATATGACAGATGGAAACTTAACATCATAAGGCATCTATATACAAAGTATGAAGCATCCAGGTCTTTTACCTTCTGAAATGTTAAGCTTTTAAGAAGTTAGTTAACGCTGCCGCCATGGGATCACTATCACAGAAATCGCAGGCTCGACAATAAAAAAATCAAAAATGTATTTGAGTATGTAACAATGTTCAAAACAACACTCCCTTGACCTTGGGATATGATGTTTGGTCTGCCTCTTTGTGGACCTTTATCAATCAGGTTTCCGTCTTTATGGAAATGTCAACATATATCTGTTCCCCTGAAAACTTTGTTAAAATAATGCCATATTATCTGTTCATGTTGGAACAAATATTATATACCCTTTATTCTGTTAGGAACAGATATTACAGTTGGAACAAATATTATGTACCCTTTATTCTGTTAGGAACAAATATTACAGTTCGAACAAATATTATGTACCCTTTATTCTGTTAGGATCAAATATTACAGCCAAATAATCTAATGCAATCAAAATAACTGCCTTTCATCAAATTAAATATCTTAACATTTTAATACTAGATTTATTGATGCAATACACAATGTTGGAAGAAACATTTTCCATAAGCAATAAAAAATTAAGTCTGTTGCCACAGTTGGGTATAACTAGTTACAGAAAGAAAGGAAGGAACTCGAAAATGGTAGGTCACAGACTCTAACCATCGCTAATTTGAACTCCTGAGTATACCTCAAAATTTCTACTTTCAATGCAAGATTTGAGTTGGACAAATTTCTTCTTGACTCATGTTTAAATATAAAGCATACCTTCACCAGGTTGTTGAGTCAATGTCACAGTTACTGTTTCTGGAACTGGTTCACTGCCATCTGATCCCCCGCCTTGTTGCAACCATAATGACTGGTCTCCGCTAGATTCTCTAGAATTGTCATTTCCAATTATCTCTACATTAACCTACAAACAAAAAACAGACACATCTCATTGTCCCTAATTTTTAAATAAACAATAATGTTAAACATAAGCAAATTTCTACTAGGAGAGCATAATTACAACTGAATACATATACCAGAGAGACAAACGGATGTATTCATCTGATAGTCTTATATGTACACAAATTAATAAACACTTCATTAAATACCAAAAATTCCTTCATGGCTGTAGAAACTTGATTTGTTTTGTATCCTTACAACATGTACATCAGAATTACAGATTTTACCAAGTATTTCGAATTTTATCATTAGACGATAAACAAGACCATTAACATTGTATTACATGTAGTGCAGTGTATCAATCCCAACTCATTACTGTATTCATAAATGTGAATTGTACATGTTGGTTGTTGCTCACTTTTGCAGACACGTCATCAATACTTCTTTCTTAACTCTTTCCTTTCCTAAAATGATCCAGTTTTTATACTGCATCACTTGCAAATATTTGTAAGGCTTCTATGATTTGTTACATGTACCATGATCAGGAGATGAATAGTTGAGATAATTTCTCGAAGTCTAATTATAATACTCATGAGTCATCCACATGTATTGAGACTAATGTATTTTTAGAGTACTACTGATCTTGAAGCATCTTCTGTGGAAATACATATCTCTCCTGCAATGACCCTAATAGTATAGGAATTCAGGCCTTTAGCATTGATATTAAGCAAATGCAAAAAAATACAAATCTGTAAGCAATTACAGAAATATTTCAGTGTCAAAAAAATTCTAGAAACAAATGTATTGTTATGATGACCAACACAGCTATTAAGTTAGATGAACTCTTTTGCACAGATTTTATTGATTTAAGATTGTTTATCATTTATGCAACCTTGCCTCATGAGTACTACTATGGAATCATTTATTTGTTAAGGTACCAATTTTCGTGAATATTTGATTTCATGCCTATAAAAAATTTATACTTTGTTGAAAATTCAAATTCATGGCTCACGTTTACCGACAAATTCATGAAAATTGGTATCCCACATAATATAATGAATCCACAGTATATTGAATAATAACATACTGTAGGTGCTGTAAGAGGCAGTGTCCCATTTTCTACATCTTTTAATGCCTGATGGATATGGTTCTTTAAATCATTAACAGTAGGAAATAATGTCAGGTCATGTCTCTCTGGAACATTACCCCCATGGTATAGATCTCTAGTTACAAATGCTCTAAAACAAGAATCATATCACACATGTATTAACTGTATTTGAGACAACCATATTATATACTGATGTGCGAATCTATTAAATCCAATCAAATAAAAGAACAGAGTTCCAATGTTCCCCCGCGTTGCACATATTTTATCTATCCAAGGTACAAGGGATAGCTTGTAAATAACTAAATAAAACATTTTTTTTCAAGTAATAACGCCGCCATTTTCCATAAATTTAATATTTCCAAGGGGCATAACTCTTAAAAAAAAGTTGATTGGCCACCATTATAGAACTTGTCCAAGATATTGCTGATATTAACCTATAGTATAAGTTTTATAAAAATCTGGCAAGAATTGTACATGTGAGAGCGCTAAAAAGACCTGACGGACGGACAGACAACAAGGTAAGCATATCCTTCTATGCATACATCATTTGCCATGCTATATAGATATAAGAAGATGTGGTATGAGTGCCAATGAGACAACTCTCCATCCAAGTCACAATTTGTAAAAGTAAACTACTATAGGTCAAAGTATGGCCTTCAACACTGAACCTTGGCTCACACCGAAAAGCAAGCTATAAAGGGCCCCAAATTCAAGTCATGTCATGACTGTAAGACACCAATATGACATCAACTAAACAAAAAAATAAATTCAAAAAAAGATTTGTAAAAGTCAACAATAGAAAAGGATTTATACCGAATGTAAAATTCTATAGATCACCCAAAGTCTAGAAAAGTTGTGATGATGAGCAAATAAAAAAAAATCTGCTATCAACATTAAATTCTTCTTAAAAGCCCCTGCCCCATAAAGAAGATATATCAAAGAGGAATACAGGAATAATACAGAAGAAACCATTAAATTTCTTTTTGAAGTCTAATTATCATATGATTATCAGTATGTTTTGGAATCGCAATGATAAACATAGAGTAAATAAAATGCTTCACTGAGCGCAGCTGAATACAACCGCAGAGGTCTAACCCTAAACAGTTGGGGGGAAAATGGACACAATATTCGCGCTTGATACAGGTCTGAATTTGGATTGTAAATAAATATTTGACACATAATAGGTTTCTGACACTGAATAACTGTAGTCAAAGAACTTAGAATTGGTTATATGATTTGAATTTATATTAAATTTTTTGCTTTCGTGCAATACACTATGCTGTTGCGAATTGACCCCCCAACAAAAACAACAACAACAACAACAAAAATTTACCCCCCCCCCTTTTTTTTTGCTTTTGTGAAATACACCATGCTGTTGCGTATTGACCCCCCCCCCCCCCCTTTTTTTTTGCAAAAAAAAAAAATATTTGAAGAAATTTTCTTTTTAATTTCTGAAATCTGAAATGAAAAAAAAAAATTGCCAACCACAATTTCTTTTTTACCCCCCTTCCCCCCCTTTTCCAAAAAATAAATTCTTTCCCTCAAGATATAGTCATAATCTCAATTCAAATTTCCAATGGAGTTTGCAACCATAATTACCAATTTAAATACATCATAAAAATCTTAAAGATCATTTAAAATCAGTGTAAGGGAGGTAATCCAACATTGTACAATATTGTACAATTTTGTTTTTGGATTACCTCCCTTACACTGCTTTTAAATTGTCCATTAACCAGGAAACCCTTGTTTTTCCCCTTTTTTGCCCCTAATTCCTAAACGGTTTGAGCCATAACCCCCCAAAGCCATTCCTAACCATACCTTTGTGGTATGGAAACTTGTGGTATAATTTCAGAGAGATCCATACACTGTTCCACAAGTTGTTGTCTGGAAACTAGAAAAATGCTTATTTGGGCCCCTTTTTAGCCCCTAATTCCTAAACTGTTAGGACCATAACCCAAAAAATCAATCCCAAACTTACTTTTGTGGTATTGAACTTTATGGTAAAATTTCATAGAGATCCATTCACTTAAACTAAAGTTATTGTGCGAAAACCAAGGTGTCTTCGGATGACACCCACGCCAACGTCATACCAATATACGATTGCGGTCATCTAACAATTTGATATCAAAATTTCAACTAATCAATAATATATTCAAATTTTTTCAGCCATTGAAATAGAGTGTCAAAATAAGTGAATTAAACCTCAATTGTTTTCTGATGGCATAAACTCTGGTTTCTCCACTAGCTATAAGATCTCTGATTTTCTGAGCAACCCTAGGATCCAGTCTATGTGTTATCTGATCTGTGTCCACCTCTGGCTCTACAGTGTGTACAGGTACAACAGGTTGGACGGCAGGGATGGAGGACATATCATGGAATTCGTGGGCTTTTTCTGTTGGAAGCTGTACATAATATCTGTAAAGAAATTATAGATGGAAGTTCAACTTTAAATTGGGTGAAATCTGTAGTTTTTGAGAAACAATAACATAACACATTTTATGACATATACCAAAACTATGCTGGTTTTTTTTTTACTTTAATTCAATTGTGAAAATAATAACAATTTTAATCTAAGGCTAAGGGTTCATTATTATCAAATCTTATTCTGTATACCATACTTGTTTTGTTTTCACCTATTCCATATCGAGTTACTTTCCTTTGCCAAACAAAATTTGAAATCATGTAAAATGCTCAAAAACACTCTAAATGACCCTTTAGTCTTGGTAGCTGTGCCTTTATTTGTTAGCAATAAACACATTATGCATCGCTGAACCTTAACTTTATTCTTAAGATAAAAAACATTTGTTTACTTTAAAAAAAAATTATACTTAAAAATACTTATAACATACCTGCAAACTTCTCAAAATTTTCACTGGGTATTTTAAGCACAAGAACACTTGATGTATCTCTTGTGCAAGTCATAAATGTTTTAAATCTAATATCATATGGCATTGAATAATTAAATGCCATTTGAACTCCTTTGAATTCAAGTTTTGACGTATTCAGATTATAAATGGAGGATTTTCAAGCGTAAATCTCAATAAATCGAGAAACTGGGCAATGACATTATTTTCAAATTCCCTTTGATAAATTTAGAAATTATCAAGAAACTAAGGTTTCAACTCTACCCCTCAGGCAAAGTTGACCTTACATGAATTTAAAAATAAGGAGATAAGTATGATTGCCAATGAGACAACTATCCACCAAAGTTTAAATGAAGTGGATGTAAACAATTTGGCTATTCTGTTAATGTCCCTATTGGTCTTATGTGAGTTATCACATATTTATACATACCTCACTTTCAAATGTTTAGTTTATTGTGAACCTGATGAAGGTAAATCCAAACAAATGTAAGCATTAAAGTGTTTTTTTAATTTAATGGCATTTCTGATATAAGCTTCGTAGTTAATGGCAATTCTGATATAAGCTTCGAATTGAATGTTCAATTCTTTTGGAAATGAGAGAAAAAGTGGTGGAAATTTACAATTTTTTCAAATACTACTAATTTTACTCTATTATGACATGATATATATATACAAAATATACTAGTCAAGACATCCAATTTTCAACAGTTTTTTTATAAGATCCTTTTTTTCTAAGAAAATGTTGTTCAAAGGTCAAATCATAAAATATTGGTTGATAGATTAAAAAAACAATTAAATGTATTTACATTCACCATAAAGTGCAAACTAAAAGATCAGTTGCTTATTTATTGCTGATCAATAGTAGGACAGTCCAGTAACAATGAAAAATCTACAACCAGGGGCCTAAAGGGTGATTAAGAGGTATTACTATCACGTAACTCAGGGAAGACAACCCAAAACAGTAACTTCCTATATATCTTTGTAACTCTCATTAACTAAAGCTTAACAATCTTTCTATAAGTGAGATATCTATAACAAGGCACATTAAGGTATAAAAGTATAAAAATAATAAGGTTATGTGTAATATTGTATTTTGTTATAATATGGCTTTAATAATAGACCTTTTAGAGACTATAATATGGCTATCTGTCTAAAATAACCACCACCCATCAAATTTTAATAAAAGTGCCTTCTGACCCCCATATTCCATTAATTCTAGAAAAGTCCTCATATACAAAGGAGTAGGTCCGGTAAGGGCCGACTTTGGCCTCAAATTTCAGGTTCATATGACGAAGGATTTTGGACACTTTTTGAACACTAAAGTGTCTATTTCAGTTGATTCTATTAGTTTATGTGAAAGATTTTAACTGATTTACTCATTAAAAAGGCTCCTATTCAAGTTTAAATATGAAAAATATATCAAATATGCCAAAAATGTCACTTTTCAGATGGTTTTTTGTCAATAATGAAAGTAGCCGCATCCGTGTTCATCCTCAACCTTTATATATGTTATGTATTATCATCAAATACAACTTACATTTCAATATTAAGAATGAACACAAATGCAGCCACTTTCATTTTAGACGGAAACCGTCTAAAATTTAACTAAAATGCTAAAATTGTGAAGATTTCAGTAATTTAGCCTGACTAAAGGATGCTAGTACTCTCAAAAGTGACATGATATATATATACAACGTGTACAAAATATACTGGTCAAGACATCCCATTTTCAACAGTTTTTTTTATAAGATCCTTTTTTCTAAGACAATGTTGTTCAAAGATCAAATTATAAAATATTGGTTGATAGATTAAAAAAAAACCAATTAAATGTATTTACATTCACCATAAAGTGCAAACTAAAAGATCAGTTGCTTATTTAGTGCTGATCAATAGTAGGACAGTCCAGTAACAATGAAAAATCTACAACCAGGGGCCTACAGGGTGATTAAGAGGTATTACTAACATGTAACTCAGGTGAGACAACCCAAAACAGCAACTTCCTATATATCTTTGTAACTCTCATTAACTAAAGCTTAACAATCTTTCTATAAGTGAGATATCTATAACAAAGCATATTAAGGTATAAAAATATTAAAATAATAAGGTTATGTGTAATATTGTATTTTGTTATAATATGGCTTTAATAATAGACCTTTTAGAGACTATAATATGGCTATCTGTCTAAAATAACCACCACCCATCAAATTTTAATAAAAGTGCCTTCTGACCCCCATATTCCATTAATTCTAGAAAAGTCCTCATATACAAAGGAGTAGGTCCGGTAAGGGCCGACTTTGGCCTCAAATTTCAGGTTCATATGACGAAGGATTTTGGACACTTTTTGAACACTAAAGTGTCTATTTCAGTTGATTCTATTAGTTTATGTGAAAGATTTTAACTGATTTACTCATTAAAAAGGCTCCTATTCAAGTTTAAATATGAAAAATATATCAAATATGCCAAAAATGTCACTTTTCAGATGGTTTTTTGTCAATAATGAAAGTAGCCGCATCCGTGTTCATCCTCAACCTTTATATATGTTATGTATTATCATCAAATACAACTTACATTTCAATATTAAGAATGAACACAAATGCAGCCACTTTCATTTTAGACGGAAACCGTCTAAAATTTAACTAAAATGCTAAAATTGTGAAGATTTCAGTAATTTAGCCTGACTAAAGGATGCTAGTACTCTCAAAAGTGACATGATATATATATACAACGTGTACAAAATATACTGGTCAAGACATCCCATTTTCAACAGTTTTTTTTATAAGATCCTTTTTTCTAAGACAATGTTGTTCAAAGATCAAATTATAAAATATTGGTTGATAGATTAAAAAAAAACCAATTAAATGTATTTACATTCACCATAAAGTGCAAACTAAAAGATCAGTTGCTTATTTAGTGCTGATCAATAGTAGGACAGTCCAGTAACAATGAAAAATCTACAACCAGGGGCCTACAGGGTGATTAAGAGGTATTACTAACATGTAACTCAGGTGAGACAACCCAAAACAGCAACTTCCTATATATCTTTGTAACTCTCATTAACTAAAGCTTAACAATCTTTCTATAAGTGAGATATCTATAACAAAGCATATTAAGGTATAAAAATATTAAAATAATAAGGTTATGTGTAATATTGTATTTTGTTATAATATGGCTTTAATAATAGACCTTTTTAAGACTCTTAATAGACTTATTTACACTTAAGGTTATTCCAGACCAGATATAAATGTATGGTGGGGGGGGGGGGGGGGGGGTCAAAAGGCACTTTTTATTTAACCCTGCCATGGATAAAATTTTAATTGATTATTTTTTTTCATATAATTGTTATTAAAGGCTATCTGTCTAAAATAACCACCATCCATCAAATTTTAATAAAAGTGCCTTCTGAAGCCCCCCTCCCCTAATTCCATTTATTCTAGAAAACTCCTCATATACAAATTTGTCTGCCATGACTTCAAACCACACAAGCCCCAGCAAAATATTGCATCACAATTTAAGTAACTGTTGCATGAAGTCAGAAGGTAATTCAAAGACAGGCCTAGGGTAATTCGAAGACAATTCAGTTAATACCCAAAATGTAAATACTATGGGTCAACAAGTCAGTCAGATATTTTTCTGATTATTCACTTTTTCTTTTTGTGTACCTTTCCTGTCCAAATCCATTAAAACCAGTCTGTTTTAATTCATGAAAAGCTCTATCCATTTCCATCTTCAATGTCTTTTTATCTAGATTCAAATCTACAGAAAATTCTGGAAACTTCTTTACTCTTTTCACATAAATCCTGATAAAGAAAAAGAAAATTTTTTTAATTTTCCTTAAAATCATGCACTAAAATTAAGGCATAATTTCAGAAAAAATATATTTCTGCATTTATCGAGTTCACTTTGTTTTGTTGTTATCTAACTTCTGTAGAGAACAGATCTCACAAAAGTTTGATTTGAACATACCTAGCGGGGCAGGTGAGTTTATAGTCTCCCGAAGCATTGGTCTCTTTTTTGTGTGGATTACCCTTCCTCCGAGGTCCATACTGACACTCCATCACAACTGCTCTGCTTCCTGAAATATATAAATAGTAGACATCAACATTGCCATTGTTTGAATTTACTGCTATCAAATTGAATCTTGATGTTGTTTTTGTAATCTTGGCCTTTTAGATGCCTTCTTAAGCATGTTAAGCCCAACTTATGGCATGAGTGCATACAACTCATCATTGAAGGTCATGTGATGAGCAAGACTTACCATGAGTTTTTTTGCTTTTTTTTTCTTTCATAGAGGTTTTACAATACAATACATGTGGCTTTATCAAGGGAAAAATTGTGAAGATATATTTTCTCAATGTCCACAATGTTAATGCTTATATCATTTGCATGAGGAGCCTTAAATTAAAACTACAGGGAAAATTGCTGTAATTTGGTGCATTTAAGTGAATCATTACGCTCTACCTTTGCAGAACAAACAATTAAGGCCAGTTTGTGTCTGCTGAATATTTTAGTTATCATCTTTTGAAAATATAAAAACATTGGTTGCATACCTTCAAACCCTCTATGCTTTTGAAAAATACCCTATATCACATTCTGTTTATAGGGTATTTAACTAATCATCATCAAGTTGTTTTGTACAGAATCATTCACTTGCAAGTATTAATGAAACATATATATACCAATGATTTCGTCTACACTCATCATTTCCACAATTTAGGAAACAATATTCAAAATGAGGAAAGTATTTCTTATCAATATATACTCTTCTATAATATCTATAAATCAGCACTGAATTTTATATTAATACAGAAACTCTTTGTGATAATGTAATACAGTAACTAAAATAAACAGCTGCGCCATGAGCACATGATACGCCCGTCGCTTTTTTAAAAAATAAAGTTCAATAACTTCTCAATGTAATTTCAGAAATCTATGAAAAACTAAAGGGAGGTTAGCTTATTAGATATAAATCAGTCAACAAAGTTTCATGAAAACTGCTCAAAGCACTTTAAATATATTGTATGAAAACTGGAAAATCACCCCCTTTTTAGGAATAAAATCCCATAACTCGGAAACGTAAAATCTAAAATTTATAAAAATCGAAAGGGAGCTTATGTCAATAGTTATAAACAATTCACAAAACTTTCATGAAAACTGCTGAAAGCATTTTGAGTTGTTGTCCAAAAACTGGAAATTCCCCCTTTTTTTAATGAATAAAACCCAACAACTCAGAAACATAAAATCTAAAATTAATAAAAATCAAAAGGGAGCTCATGTCAATAGATGTAAACAATTCACCAAAGTTTCTTGCAAATTGGTGAAAGTGTTTTTGAGTTATTATCCGAAAACTGGAAAATCCCCCTTTTTTATGAATAAAACCCCATAACTCAGAAACTTAAAATCTAAAATTTATAAAAAACGAAACGGAGCTCACGTCAATAGATATAAACAATTCACCAAAGTTTCATGCAGATTGGTTAAAGCGTTTTTGAGTTATTGTTCGACATATTGTGGACGGACGGACAGACAGACAGACAACGGTATACCATAATACGTCCTGTAAACTGCCGTATAAAAACCCCTAAAGTTACCTGTATTTACAAATGGTATACCATCCATAGGAACATACTGTGATTTCCACATTAATCTTGTCGAAGGTTTGGCTGGACTGGGTGATTGTCTGGTACCCCACAGACTCTGTGTTTGTTGTTTGTGGAAAGTCAAAAGGAGGTCAAGATCCATGTCACTCTCAACATATCCTCTGTAATAATCTCCAATTTTCTAAAACAAAAAAATCACCAAATATTGCTTTAATCTATTTGAAGAAAAACTGGTAAAGGATTCTGTGGTACCCTGTGTCTTGGCTGCAATTGCTGCTGTCAGTTTAAAAGTGTTATGTTGACTGTAAATAGTAAGTCCATTTATCAATAAAATACATATTTCTTTTTAAAAAATCAAACTTTTTTCTTCAGATAGTGTTTCTTGATTTTGAAGATAAGCTTCTGTCCAAGTTTCATATCAATCCATGAAGGATTACAAATTTAAGTCCATTCCTCAGTAAAATACTCAAATAAAATGCTTCGCTGAGCGCAGCCTGATACGACCGCAGAGGTCGAACCTTTAACAGTTTAGGCAAATTTGGACACAATATTCAAGCTTGATACTGTCTGAATTTGGATTGTGATCAAATTTTTGACATAATATAGGTTTCTGACACAAAATAAATGTGGTCAAAGATCTTACAAATCTATTGCGCAATACTGTGCAATTGAAGATTTCTTCTTGAAACCTTTCAAAAATTTGAAATTTGAAAAATTTTGAAAAAAAATATGAATCTCTTAAAAAAATTGGAAAAAAAAATCCCCCCCAACTTTTTGAAACCCCCCTTGGAGCAATAACCCCAAAACTCAATCCCAGCCTTTCTTTTGAAGTATGGGACATTGTAGTACAATTTCAGAGAGATCCATACACTTAAATACAAGTTATTGTCTGGAAACTAGAAAAATGCTTGTTTTTGGCCCTTTTTTTGCCCCTAATTCCTACATATTTGGGGCAATTAACCCCAAACTCAATCACAGCCTTCCCTTTGTTATATGGAACCTTGTGGTACAATGTCAGAGAGATCCATACACTTACACACAAGTTATTGTCTGGAAAATAGAAAAATGCTTGTTTTTGGCCCCTTTTTGGCCCTTAATTTCTAAACTGTTGGCCCCATAACCCCTCAAATGAATCCCAACCTTTAACTTGTGGTATTAAACATTGTGGTACAATTTCGGAGCAATCGAAATATTTATACACAAGTTATTATCCTGAAACTAGAAAATGTTTGTTTTGGTCCCTTTTGGGCCCCTAATTCCTAAACGGTTTGGACCATCATCCCCAAAATCAATCCCAACCTTCCTTTTGTGGTATTGAATCTTCTTAAAAAATTTCATAGAGATCCATTCACTTAAACTTAAGTTATTGTCCGGAAACCAATGTGTCTTCTGAAGACGACGACACAGACGACGACAACATCATACCATTATACGATAGCAAAAATTTTTTTTGCGGTCGTATAATAATGGAAACAATTTATTTTCAAAAATGTTGCTTCTGACAACATCTCTAAATCATAATAAAGCTTCTGCCACAGTTTCATAAAATCATTCGAAGGTTTGACATACATGACATATCAGTGTTCTCCACAGAAAATTTCGGATAGCATCACATTTGGCGTAAAAAAAAAAGAAGGTTTTTTTCAATGTCATTTGTCGCGTCACGGCAATGCTCTATTTCTTTTAAGTAATGTTTATATTGTTCAATTCATAACTGTGAATTCAATTAAAGTATAACAGTTGTTTCAGTTTATGTCTTCAATGTTCATTTATAGTTACAGAATTACAATTTTCCTCTTGTCAGAAACTACCAACCAAATATCTAGTACAAAAAAGAACTTTTTTTATATTAAAATGGAAAAGAAAGTATCATATAGTAAAAACACTTCAATTAAAAAGTATTCTGTTTAAAATGCTAAAACGGCCTGGGGAGATCACTGCATATTAATTGATGACTTATAAACTTAATCACCAAATAAACCAAATACATTGCTCATTTTGGCTATTAATTCAGAGGGTCTTCTCTCTTCTCTAAATCTTATCAAGAAGTCACTTCTAATCAATAATTTACACTGTATTAAATAGGAGCATAGAATTTAATTTTCAAATTTATAAATCTTTTTATATTCTTTTACAGAGTTCTCGAAATCTTTTTTTGCCTGGTGGTCCTTGAAGAAAATATGAAGGTCCTCACTATCATTTCTATTGCAAATTACCAAAATTGTGTTGGTCCTTCCAAAAAATGTGGTGGTCAAATCCCAAGGACCACCACTTATCGAGAACTCTGCTTTTAACACAAATTTATATACTAAAGCAAGCTTTGATATTGCTTTGTCTGAAAACGGTAAGTTTTCCAAAATCAAATATGCCATAAAGCAATTACATCATGTGACCGCATGTGTATCATCTCACTACGTATTCCAACAACCGAAATCTTTGCATTTTCTTGGCTTAATTGGAACAAACAAGAGTTTTTACAAATGTAGTAAAATTATTCCTCAGAAGATAACAGCAGTATATCATACTCATAATATATGTAAAACATAAATGCCAGGTGACAATAACTGGTAAATGACGGTAACTGGTCTTAGACCAGACCCAGTGTATGTTTTAAAAGTACATCTAGTGTCCAAGGAAATCAAGAACAACTAAACATAGTTATACTAGATATCATTGAGATGGGAGCCATCTCTGTGGGCCCCACTGTGAATAATGTGTGGTAAAAAATTTGTATCTTTATCATTGGACATGGGATTGTCAACTGAAACCGGTTTATGACCTTGACCTTTGACCAAGGAAGTTGTACATACATTATGACACACCCTCTGGTGTTGGTTTATATACATGTCAAGTATAAACTTTGAAATCATAACGGTTCTCAAGATATAGAGCGGACACAATCTTTACCATAGGACATGGGGTTGTCAACTAAAACCTAAGTTTTTGACCTTGACCTTTGACCTAGGAAGTTGTACATACATTATGACACACCCTCTAGTGTTGGTTAATATACATGTCAAGTATAAACTTTGAAATCATAACGGTTCTCTAGATATAGAACGGACACAATTTGTTACGGACGGATGGACAGACGGACAGACAGACTATCACTATAGGGCATCTGCCATTTGGAGGGGCCCTAATTAATAAAAGGAGATTCCTTTGTGGCAGATTTTTTAATTTTTAACTAAAGCACTGATTGCTGAGCCAATTTAAACAAGTAACAAAATTACCTCACAACACCTTATTCTCTTGGCCCATTCTGGAGCATCAGCAGGAAGTGGCATCAACTCAGGGACAGGAGGGGGTGGCATTAACACACTGTCATCTGATGTTGATGGGGTCACCTCATTAGAACTCCCTTCCTCCAAACCTGTCAATCACAAATATTAATAATATGTTTATATCTTAGCTTTTCATGCATGAATGTAAATCTATCAATAACAGTGCATGTATAATTTATAATCTAGGATAACCATCTCAGAACTTTAGCAAAACTGAAGCATACACAAAAACGTATGTACCTGGTACCTCAAAAAGTTAGTTACATATGAAACCTTGCAGCATACAATGACAATCTAAACCTTTGACACATCAATGATCTGGTATGTGTAAGATTTCTTAACCCTTTTAATTTGTTGAAGGATGAATAAATCATAAAAATAATGTTAATAAAGTACATAAATTTTTCTAATGTAATAATAGTTTTCAAAATTTTTGAAGTTCAATATAAAAACAAGTCTTTGTCAAGTATAGTATTATTAATTAGATAAAAGTTTGAGAGGTCATATCAAGCAATATTAAATTCTTAAGCATTGTCTGATTACGACTCCCTTTGTAGATTTGCATAGTGCATCCACTTCTTTCTTTATTTTCTCGTCCATGATCGATCAAGTAAATGAATTGCAGACAAAATTACGAAAACCAGAAGTAAACTAACTGTTGCCACAGAGAAAAATTAGTCTGCTGTTATCTTTACTAGTAATCATTGCCCTAACTAAAAGCTAAGAAGAAATGTAGTAACTTCCTATTGCATCTGAGTTATCACTTATTCATATCACACTGTGTTCCGTGTGATATGAGAAATTCATCTATGTGCATTGTTGTGCTGGAGAAAGGTAATAGGTCACAACCAGAATTTTAGTTATCCATTCACTTCCAATACAAATTTCATCTTTCTATAAATGAATAAAACTGTGAATGACTATACTTTCATGCATATATAACAGTATACCTGCCTTAAAAGCTTGATTATTGAAGGTTTTCTTTGTATTATCATAGTAAAAATGTGCAAATCAAAACTGAGAAGACATTATACCCTTTTTTTGGTATAATTGACAAATATATTGAAATTCAAGATTCTCCAGAATTCTGAATAAGAAAGGTGAGAGCCTTGTGAACAAAAATTTCTGATCATTGTGAACTAAAACAAGTTAAAGGATTAGAGTCTTAGAAATCTACTGGCTCTGTGTTAGATTTACAAGGGCTGGTGCCTAATTATCGTGCATAATATTCCAGCTAATACGAAGTAACTGCAAATTACAGGTACCTTTATTTTTTTATTTCATTTTGTAATTTTGTTATTTAGCTTGTTAATGTAAAAATAAGAAGATGTGGTATGATTACCAATGATACAACTCTCCACCAGAGAACAAATGGCATAGAAGTTAACAACTATAGGTCACCATACAGAATGTTTTAAGTATGCATTCAATTTTGGAAACTAATTTTAACAAGCATTCTGTGAGTATTGCATGGCAATACATAGTCCCCTACCTGTTAAAAATTAATTGTATTGGAACAGAATTCTAACTTGATCTATAACTTGTCATGGTGTAAACTATATAACAAATATCAAGTCAATATCTTCAAGCATGATGAAAAAAAGTGTTGAAAACTGATTATTTAAGTAACGTCCAAGGACCATAACTCTGCACAAAATCATTAGACCGGAACAAAATTCGAACTTGATCTGTAACTTGTCATGATAAAACTATATACCAATTTTCAAATCAATATCTTCAAGCATGACGAAAAAAAGTGCGGAAAACTGATTATTTGAGTAAATTTTCTAAGTCAAAGGACCATAACTCTGCACAAAATCATCAGACCAGAACAAAATTCGAATCTTTAATCAATACCTTTAAGCATGAAGAAAAAAGTGTGGAAAACTGATTTGCCAGACTGACGGACTTCGTCAGTAGGGGACTAATAAATTACCGAATGTATCATCAATCTACAACATGTACTAGCCATGTAAGATATTTATTTTTAGTATACCTTGTACTTCTGACTTCCCATTATGTTCCACATTTTCGTCACCGACAGTTATAATTGTAGCAAGCTGCCATCTTGTTGAATCTGTATTTCCCGCAGATAGTATTTCATTTGGATTGTTGAGTGTGATAATCTGTATGCCTTCTGGATGACCAATCAGCTGAGCATTCGTCAGACTGACTGGAGAAGATAATAAACCTTGGATTGTTGGATTGGCTAGACTTGGAGCTGAAAAAATTAAGCAATATATTTATTCACTTATTACTAATAGCCTATCAACATGACAAAAAGTTAAACTGATATAATTTTTAAATGACATGCAATTTTTTTTATGTACAGTACAGCAGACTATTTTCAATGAACACAAGAAAGTTGATGACCAAAAATATAACTCCTACTGATTTTGTCCCTGTTCAAAAATGGCAGTTCATTCAGATAAAAAAACAATTTATACAGATTTTTTCAGGACTTTTCATTTTCTTATAATCAGTCAGGGGACTTACATAAATGAGTGATTTTTTAAATCACTAATTCATGTAACATTGTACATGTGTCCACAAATGTTAGAAGTAAGAGTTGTCTTTCTTTAATAATCACTTACTGTAAACCAACTTATTTTCGCGGATACTTTATTTCGCGTTTTACCCTTTCTAGACCACTTCCCGGCTATTTAATTTCGCGATTTTCTAATTTCCTTGAAGGAACGATCCAAGTTTTATATATTCGCGACGATTTATAATCACGTTATTTTTCTACTCACGAAAGTCGCGAAAATAAGTTGGTTTACAGTATTTAAGGAGTACAAATAAATCACTAGACCATGTAGACTAAGTGATTTAATTTTATTGTAGCTTTAAATATACAATACTAATGATCCAGGGACTAATTATGTTGCTAAAATTATCAGAACCAACATCTGTGTTGATAAGATGACCGTTCATGTCAGGTGATGACCTTGTACTGAACCTGGGATAATGACATGAAAAATCACTAGTTTAAGTATCTTACCTCTATTTTCTTCCAAAAAATCACTTCTTTAAGTATTATTATTTTAACTACCCCCCTTATTTCAACACCCCCGAACAGTGAAATTTTGATCGCAAACAGTAAAATTTTATTACATAATCTGTAAGATGAAACCTTGAATTTTACAGGAAAATGACTCCCCCTGCTTGGAAAAATCTGTTAAGAAAGTGTCAGTTCATTAGGTAAAGCCTTAATCATAGCATTTTTTCAACAAATATAGAATTTACAGCTAAATGATTGCATCAAAGGCATAAACCTTGCTATTAAAAAGAAGAAAAAGGTTAATTTTTTCCAATTTTACTAATAATAAGATATAATCTGAACCTATATGTTTAAAATTTTGGTAAAACTACAAAATCACAATTTGTGACAAAACTTCTAATTTGCTACTTAAATAAGTGATTTTTAAATCACTTATTTCAGTAATTCCCCTGACTGATAATGGTGACAACAAAGTTAAATGGAAATTGGTTGTCGATTATAATTCATTAAACATGTAAAAATATTTAGAAAATAACCATTCTCAATTAGTTTTGTAACAATTGGCCTTTACAAATGGTTTTTAAAAATCATTTCCTTGATTTTTTTAAATTTTCAGTAATAATAAATACAAGAGATGAATACGAGCTAATATTTCAAATGAATTTTTAAATGACAGATTTATTAACTTTACAATTCAAGTTTTATTTTCAGTAATGACAGTCAGGTGCAGGTTGGAGTTCAGTCAGGAAATTAATTCCAACTTTAAAAGTAGACCAATTTAAAATGTACTTTAAGTAAAGTTGGTCCTAAGATTCTTTTTGTTTAATCACTAGTCAATGAGTCGACTCAATGGATTTAAAAAGACAGCAATTACACACACACTGGTTCTTTTAGCAAGTAAACTAAAAGCATTTTACCTGTTGTAGGACTATAGTTAATACATTACTTTATAGTTTTCTACAGCAGGTAAATTTTGTTTTAAGGGAATTTCGTTATTTGTCTCCATCATAATCCTACACATGTTAATGTGTATGCCTTTTATAGCCAACTATATGGTATGGGTTTTCTCAACTGTTATTAAAAAAAGGTATAGAACCACTAATTTGGGCCCGGTCTGAAAGAACATACAAAATGTAGTACATATTATAAACAAAATAGTTCCTACGCATAGCTATATCTTTGTCAATAGGTGAAATATTTGGGTAGTTTTGGTATCAAATGAAAGCTTGGGGACACTGTAGAACCCTTGTTGAAAGTTTCTTTTGAACAGTAAAAAAAGTATATAAAATTATAATAGGGCACATTTGCCCTGTTGTTCAGATCAGAAGTACCTGTTTTTGTACTATCAAACTTCCGGGAACCAATACGCTCTAATATGCAATTAAAGGTATGTTGAATTTTTCAGTACAAGTCAGGATAAGGTATAGTGTTGACATGAAATGACTGCCAGTTTATTAAGTAGCCATTAATGCTTGAAACTGCAGAATTTAACATAGATAGCAATGGGGCTATGAATTAGTGGTGTTATACCTTTAAGGCCCTTAAAGTGTACAGTGGCCTTTAAGTGCTTATAACTACGTAATTTGAACTCTGGTGGATAGTTGTCTCATTGGCAATCATACATCATACGTACTGTTGTGCGTTTGTTTTTTCTACATTGGCTAGAGGTATAGGGGGAGGGTTGAGATCTCAAAAAACAGGTTTTACCCTGCCGCATTTTTGCGCCTGTCCTAAGTCAGGAGCCTCTGGCCTTTGTTAGTCTTGTATCATTTTTAATTTTAGTTTCCTGTGTGTAATTTGGAGTTTAGTATGACGTTCATTATCACTGAACTAGTATACATATTTGTTTAGGGGCCAGCTGAAGGACGCCTTCGGGTGCGGGAGTTTCTCGCTGCATTGAAGACCCATTGGTGGCCTTCGACTGTTGTCTGCTCTATAGTCGGGTTGTTGTCTCTTTGACACATTCCACATTTCCATTCTCAATTTTATATCATGATAATATACATCATGTACATGTCTTATATTCATTTAAAATTATTAAGTTTGTTTTAATACTTACCTAAAGACACATGTAATGAATCTGTATCTAAGCTTGATATTTCCTCATCAGCTACCACCAATCCTGAACTGGAATCAGAAATTGAAGATTGGCTAGATGGGTCATAAACTGAGGAAACGAGGTCAGTGGATGAACTGACCACATCCAGTTCTGTCATGTTCTACCTGTGAAAAAATCAATTGTTTTTAATCATTTTTTTTTTGTTTAACAAATATTTTTTTTCAAATTGCTTCCTCCTATTGATCAATACTACTTATTTACCTAAGTTAACATCAGAAAATGTGAAAAATCTTTATCTAATAATCACTAAAACATTTAGTGTCTGAATTATTTTAATATTACATAATAGAACTTTTAGCCGGTGTATTGAATCTGTAATCACGTTATCTATATCCATGTATTAAAAAATGTATCTGCAGAGAATTGTACAATACAATTAATCCACTAAAAATCGGGAAAATGTTAGTTCCTATAAGACGTATTAAAATGGATATCATATTGAAATTATCAACTTAATTTTTTATACCTTTTGAAATTTCATGTTTTTGGTTATTTGGTATTTCAGATAATAATTTCATGAATCTAGTCATGCAATTTTAAGTTGAATATAGAAAGTGCTGCAGTTTTTGGATTCAAAGTAAATAGATATGATGTCCAAAAAGCTAAAACAGAGACTTTAATCTACTCCCATTTGGGGTCAAACTAAACATGCTAAAGAAGAACAATTAGTTTGAGCAAAGAAAATAATTTCATTGGGAATGTCCCTTATGAAAAGTGCTGAGTTTATAGGAGCTGAGAGCATTTATATACTTGTTATACAGAAGTGTACACTACACCATCTCAGTTAAAAATCACAAGCATGCAGCTGATGGTGGTGACTTTTAACATTAATTTCAATTGCAAAACTTGGAAATACTTGATGTAATACATGTATTATCTTTCAAATAATTGCTGTGGGAGGCATAGTTTATAGAGAATTGGAGATAATAATTTGCACGTTTTAATATTTAGGTTTTTGTCATCAAGGGTTATAATTCATTCTGCTATGGGGAAATGCCTATTGAGTGTACTACTAGTTACGTATATATAGTGTTTCAATTCTTGAAATGATGCATGAAGAAATTGCAAAATTTTTATTGTGGGATTGTGAGAATTACAAAAAACAAATATGAAAATAAAACAATTTGAATATTCTAACATTTAGGCTACAGGTCAGAGTGGGAAAGTTGTACTACACAAAAAGAGCAGTTTCAAGATACAATGGCGACAATCAAAAATTTGAATTTATCATAAGTCAAACAAAATTAAATGGGGAATGTGTCCATGGGACAGAGATGATGACCCCGCTTGCATATAAAGTTATAAAGGGACATAACTTAAAAACAGTATAAGTGACACTACCCAAATTTGTACTTGATCTGAGTTTTGTTGTAATAAGCATTGTGTATTTATAAGTTTCATAACATTTGCTAGAGGCAAACTAAAGTTAGAGAACGGAAACAAAAAATTCAGCAATTTTTCCATTTGTAAAGGGGCATAACTCTAGAATGGTAAAAGTGACGCTACCCAAATTGAAACTTGATCTGTGTTTTGTGGTAATAAGCATTGTGTATAAGTTTCATAACATTTGGATGAGGCAAACTAAAGTAAGAGAACAGAAACTAAAAATTCAGCAATTTTTCCATTTGTAAAGGGGCATAACTCTAGAACAGTAAGTGACTCCACCAAAATTCAAACTTGATCTGTGATTGTTAGTAATAAGCATTGTGTATAAGTTTTATAAGATTTGGTTGAGGCAAACTAAAGTTAGAGAACGGAAACCAATTTTGAGATGTACATACGTATGGACGTACAGACGGACAAGGGTAAAACTTAATGCACCCTCTGCTATGGCGGGGGCATAAAAAGAAGGACAATGGATACGTAATCAAAGTGATAGTTATTGTTGTTATATAAATAGTGATCTATTAGTTTTGTAGGGTCTTTTTGTCTTTTTGTCAACTAGACTCAGTTACTGCTCCTGTCATAATACTTATAGTGTCACTGTGGTTTGATAACAGTAAGACTAAAATAATCTTCTTTGACAATGATTTTACTACATACAATGTATCTAGTAATTTGTATCTATTTACAAAAATAAATTGTAAAAGAATAGTCTAATTATTCATGACGTCTTAAAAGGCTATTTTCATTTTTTGTTGTGATGCCTTCCTAAAATTAAAATGGCCTTTCAAGACGTCATAATTATTTGGACTTACGGTAAGTTAAAGACCAGATTCATCTTATGTTTTCTTGCTATTTTACCATCATGTGTATGTCTAAAAAGAATGAGAAACATGAACCCCAACATGATGGAGGTATGTCTGGTTCCCTTGAATGATAAGCAGCTAGATCCTGCTCCACTAGTGTAAATCATGGTGTGGTTTAAAGACCAGTTTCATCTTATGTTCTCTTGCTATGTTACCACCATGTATATTTCTCATAGTTAGCTCAACAGCCTCTAGTCAAATTTAGTTATGATTTATATACTTATATAGGACAGACTTGTTCCAAGTATTCACTCTCACTTCATTTTACCAAAGGCCAGTGGAGCTTGAACTGCGTCTTCCACAGCCCCTGATTTAACCCAATATTTTTGCTTGTCATGATGATGGATGGCTGCTTAACGTCCAGTGGCAAATTAATATGCATATTCAGGACCAGAACATGTTAATGTAATATGAATATTAATCATTGGCACTCATACCACATCTTCTTATTTATTTTAACCCTGCTTTGTACTAAACCGACACGCTGAGCCTGATTTTCAACGTGCTAGTTCACTTCTGAAGGAAAAAATGTCAAGCAAATACCAATTCTAAAGTATTTGGTTGGACCCAGCTGGAGTTCTAACCCAGGAACTCCCGCACTCGAGGCGAACAAGCTACCACGAGACCATCGAGGCAGTTTTGTATTTTTGGTGAGGTTTCTGTGCTCAATCACTTATATAGTATATGTTATTTGTGTAAAGAGTTTATAGACTTGTCAATTCTTCTTCAACAATGTCAAAATCCAGATTTTTGAAAAAGGGGGGATGAGCCTTAGGGAACAAGCAAACGTTTGGAGAGAGGGACATATGTAGCTCCACAAGGTGGAAACAGGCACCTATCCCCACCCCCCCTAAATCCGCCTCTGTACACGATTAAGTTGTCGTACAATCCCCCTTCTTCTGCAGATCGGCTGAAATATGAATTTGACCCCACTGTGGCTTCTGCAAAACAGCCTTAACAGGGATACACATATTTTTCCAGTCAAAGGACTGAAAATATACTGATGACCATAAAAAATTATATAGAGACATGCAGTGGTTTTCAGCTTGGAAGAATATGTGTTTTATCGTTTCGATCCCCCGATGATGCGATCCCGGACTGCACAAGATGAATTTATTTAAGAAAATTTTATTTTGTAACCTTCCGGCTTTTTTGACATATTATGTTGCACAAAACTGCGTGACTCGGTAAAAAGAATATGTTGCATATTAAATGTATTTCACTATTTGTTATATCCTTCAAAACTCGTTCTGAGTTTAAGGACAATTTAGGTGACAAACTGAAACTACAACAATGAGGCAAAGTTGTGAGAACGAGTCACAAACCTCGAAATCATTGACTGGACCTCGTCCTGATAAATATGGCGACCAAAATGAGGCATATTGGTGACGTATACGCACTCGCAAAAGTGGGCGTGGCTACCTTGAGTGGAATAGCGCGGTAACTTTCGATTTTTAGAACGATATGGCACCAACCTTTCTTCTGGAGGTGCATCGGGAGTTTTTTCAGGACAAATTTGAATACTTTTTCAATATAAATTTTATGATTTTTTTTAAATAACATACAGTACAGGGATTTTTTTATAATATTGACTTTTCACTTTTCACATTTTTACCCAGCTGTTAATCATCACAATATTTCCCCTTAAGAATTGCTAAAACTGAATAACAGAAAGAAAATAAAATAAGAATTTACATTATGCTGTTTTGAAATGATTGATCAATGGCGGATCCAGAAATTTATTTTAATAATTGGGGGCCCACTGACTGCCTAAGAGGGGTCCCGCTCCAGTCATGCTTCAGTGATTCCCTATATAGTCAACCAAATTTTTCCCACAAAAAAGGGGGGGGTTGGGGGGGGGGGGGGGCCCTTCTGAAACAAATTGTATTTTTTTAAAGAAATTAAGAGTCAAACAATTTATTTTTTGTTATTACAGTAACCTATGGATAAGAGCAAGCTAGATTTTAAGTGTAAATATACATTCTTTCAAGTGTATAGCCTTTACCCTTGTCGTCACATATCAAAGAAATGAACTAATTTGAAGAGGAAGATGGATACATTACATAATGAAGATAAATTATAGTAACATATAAGTTTTTTTAAAAAGGAGGAGGGGTATATGCTCCAAGCTCATACCTGCAAACTTTTCAAATTTCTCCATGGGGGATTTTAAGCACAAGAGGAACTTATGATCCTCTTTTATTGTCATAAGTGTTTTTAATCTTCTACTATATCATTTGAATGAGTATGTATGTGCTTAATACCCTTTTAACTCATTTGAATGCCTGTTTCGAGATGTTCACTTTATAAAATAAAGAATTTCAAAATTCAGGTCAACACCTCCATGGGGGATATCCCACATAAATTGGGATAGTTGGCAGGTTTGCAATTTGAAGCTCCTTTGAAACAAAGACATTATAACCTCATTTTGTAGATACCTTAAAAGGAAAAGCTCGCAAATTTTTCAATATATTATTCAAGTTAGTACATATGAAGGAGGTATATGAAAAATTTAATTTATTTTTAATTTTTAATTGCAATTAGTTTTCTCATCATATGAAGTTTGCTGCTTGCTTGTAAACAGTCATTGTACTGAGGTGGTGGAATTCACACCTGCATAAGTTTTTATATATTGTTAGGTGTAAAATATCATATTTTGAATAATTTTGACTGTTTGAACAATGACAGGTTGATTTTAAGATCTTGTGCTATTTTTTCTGTTCTTATGCTGTCAACATCTTGTTGGGTTGCTGTTTCATTGATGTTTACCTCACATTACCTTTCATTCATTATTCCTACCGTTTTTTCTCTCTTTGAACATTATTTTTGATCATTAACTTGCACAGGTTTTTAGCTTACATCTCAATCTAAAGGACTGGTGAAACAACTTGTTTCTTGTGTCTTTCTTCGTAATTTCCTTTTCTGTGCTTATATGGTTGTGCTGGAGTTGCATGATATCTGTGTACCTTCAATGAGTTGTCTGATTAACATTGTTTTGTCTTTAAATGCAATGTTAAAATTAACCAGAGACATAAATAATATGTATCCATAGTGGTACTATATATATATGTATTTATTATGTATATTTGGACCAGTGACCTTAAGATTTGACATTTGTGTGGTTTTGTTTGACATGGGTGTGTATCAAAAAACTTGCACAAACATTTTTGTCTAAATTATTGGTTAAAATCCATGCTCAATCTGAAAGAATTAACAAAACATATGTTCACAATTGTTTGGTATTAAAGACACAGATTTTAATATGGTGATCCATTCATAACTTCAAGGTGGTTTGCAGACAGGTGATGGTGGACACACAAACAGATGAATATGTGCATGATTCAATAAACTTTTTCGGGAAGAACAATAGAATTTTTGACAGAGATTCTTTTCAAAACCATAAAAGGGTAATGCTTTAAAGATTTATATTAGCATCCAGCATCTTTTGTAACTTGAAAATTGTATTTTGGAATATTGTTTGGATTGAGGAAGTGTCTAATTTCTTATGTGAGTAAGTTTTGCTATTCTTCTTCTACAATGTACTAAGTATTTTACTTAAAAGGTACATATATGACATTGTAGAATATTTTACCTTTTTTCTGACAAATATAAAACTCAAAAAAAGGATCATCCTCACAATTTATTTCAAAAAAATTTCAATGTTGAATTGTTGAAAATTAAAAATTGTAATCCCTAGTATTTATTATAAAAAAAAAACCTTTCATAACACAAATAAAAAGACAATTGTTAAACGAGTCTCTCTCTTTAATAGATATGATAAAAACTTGCAAGGAATATATAATAACAAATGTAAACAATCAACAAATATACATTTTTACAATATCACAGTCAATCACTTCAACAACAATTTGTGGGTTTTAAGAGAACATAGATTGAAAAGTTAATATTGAACATCATCTCTTATTTAAGCATCTATATGTATTTTTTGGGATAATATTAGGTTGTCACTATTTTTCTGAAACAATATCTATGAATTAAATCTAGTTAAAAAATGTGGAAGTTTTCCTATTGTTATATTATTCGTTACTACAGATGCATTAATTGATAGGTGAACATCTGAATTTATAATTTCTGTCTTAATTTTAGGCCTAAAACCTGGTTATACATTTGCCAACCAGTAATTTTTGTATCCAATGATGGCAGTCATGCCCAATACCATTAAAAAACAAATTACAAATCACACAAATATTTACATAACATTCATAATTATTAGATATTCAGTTTTTATATACATACTTGATAGTCAGACCTTTTAATTTCTTCATGTTTTTAATATCTAAATACCATGCAGTATAATAGGGAAAAGCCTACACTTAACTTTGGCCACAAAAAAATTTAAAGCATCATTGAATCATTTATCATTGCATTTGACATAAAACTCTTGAGTTCTGGAGAATTAAAGAGGTGACTACTGACAGAAAACTTACAACATTTCTGCATTTAACATAAACATTTTAAACATTGTACATTTATACATTTACTTTTTGTTTACTTGAGGGATTTTTATTAAAATGTGTTGATTTAAGGGTAAACCGTCGCCTTAAAAGAATAATTTTAAGCAATTTTAACAAGATTGCACCTCGTAAAATTCAGCAGTTAACGTTTTAAGAGATAGTAATACTGCATGGTTGATTTGTTTTGAAATTTTGACAAAAAAAAGAAATAAAACAAAAAGACCTGGCCTTATTACACATTTCTTTTTTTGCCTTATTACACATTTTGGAAAACTTAATAATAAAAATAGAAGAACACTTTTGTCACTACAATTGGAATGCCCTGTTTTTTTATAATTCAAAAAGTTAACAATGTTAATCACTGTCATACTGTATATACAATAAAGCCCTCTTATTTGAGAGATTAAATATTACCCAACATTTTATTTTAGATTACACATGGAATGATGTATTTTTTAACATATCATTAATTTATACATTTCAATATTTACAATATACATGTACAGTATATAAAAAAAATTAAAAAAAACCAGTATTACATAGGAATTAAATTGAAACCCCAGAGTAACCAATTATATTCTTAATGACTAAAACAATCCTTAATAAAAAATAAACAGTTATATCCAAATCTTCAAATAATGACCCTTTGTATAAACTTATTCATAACTTATTGGGTAGTTTCAGGTCTGAAGATAATATGAAACATGTGACAATTAATATAACCTGAAAATGAATATTTTAACACAGAACAATCAAATTTACTTGAAAACAAGAAGTATACAAAGATTCAATAAATAGTCCATGTAACTTGTCTCATAGGTGTTCCTCCTTCCATTGACTTCTGTTCTAATGCCTCTCTCGATTTATCTGCAAACAAAAATTAAATATATCTGTACTAGTTAAAAAAATGTAATTAAAATATATTTTAGTGGTACATTTTTAATGAAGAATAATGTAACATATTGTGGAAGTCATAGGCCAACACTATGCCATCAATATAAATATCAAACTAAAATAGTATTAACATAAATTTAAAACGATTATGGTTCATCTAAAAATTAATGTATATAGATGGATGGAATAAGGCCATGGAAAATGAATGTTGGTTTCCCCTAACATGTGAAAATTATTAAGGCCTGGCAGGCAAGAAAAGCTTTTCATTTTTTTTTTTTGTGAATAATCAGTTTAGCTCACCAGAGAATATTGCTGTTAACCTGACAGTAAATTCGTGCTTTACATTCTTTATTATGGTATAAGCTATGTGAAACTAAAGGAATGTTCATCATTGTTAATTGAGCAATGTTGGGTCTTTTGTTGACACACCTTAAAGAGGTTATCAGACAACTTTAAAAAGCATCATTGAAAATTGTCAAATGAAACCAGAGCAACATTTTTTTCATCTGCCAAAAAAAAAAAATTTTACCCTGAGGGTAAAACAGACCCGGCAGGGTTAGAGGAAACAAGCAATCATTTTTGCATGGCCTAATGAAAAAAGGACAGTAATTTTTTATGGTAGATGGAAAGTTTATGAACAATAGGCCATACAGGTGCTGAATAATCTAACAAAATTCACAACACTGATGTCATGAAAATTTAAAAATAGTCCAATCACAACTGATCTCAAAGTTATAGATGCTGATTCTAATGATAATTCAAACATTGGTGTCATGATTAAATAGTCCAATCAGACTTGATGTAAATTTTGGAGATGTTGATTCTCAAAGAAAATCAGAGCGCTTCTAGTGATTGGTTCTGACAGACTTGTTATCCCCCAAATCAATTTGAACTTTTCAACTTTTGCTTTTTAAGCAATAACTTAGAAAATCTTTAAATGATTGTCTTTAAACCAAATTTCAATTGCTGTCCATTCTTAACAACTTGACCAAAATTTTTATTATAAATGTTTACTACAACTTTCAAATATTTGGTGTAACCAACATCATTTCCTTTATTTGGACATATAACAGTTCACAGTTTGATGTACACATACTTTTTTCTATGAGCTATTTCCATATATACTGCAGCTGTGCTATTTGCGCAGTCAAATTGCATTGACCGTATATTCATTTGTGACACTGACTGTATATCGCCTTGTTTATGACGTTGACAATGAGTTTTGTAGAGTTAATTTATTACGTCAATAAACAATACAGGTTCGCGGAAATTTTACGTCGTCCGCTTCAAATAAAAAAATAATTGTTTTTACCCTAAATATTTCATTTGGAACAGTTATAGGAGTTGCAGTATATAAAGAATAACCATACATTGTCTCGAAATATAAATTTTATTTGTACTCGGCTCAAACCACGATAGAAATGCTCAGCAAAGCCTCGCTTTCTACCTGTTTCTAAGCCTTGTACAAATAAAACTTATATTTCGAGACAATGTATGGTTATTCTATATGTATGTTGTCTTTCAAATTTTTATTTACTGAGTAATAAATGTAAACAAAATTAAAAAATTTTAAATAACATTGTATAAAAGATGGCTATGAAATTTTGATATCTAATTACAGACTAACAGGGAACCATAAAATGATTGAATTAAATACAATAAAACAATCATTTACTGAAACTAAAGGAGTACACCAATGAAAAGAGTAACTGTATATTTTAGCAGTAACTGACCTGTTATTTTTGGACAACCATGGAACAACAGAATGGAGAGATTTGGACAGAATTGTAAAGCTGCTTCAACTGCTTCATCGGTCAATTCATGACAACCATCCATGTGAATTTCCTGTAAAAGATAACAAAATATGTCCAGTTTAACATCTTTTCTAGTCTGTCTGTGTGGAAAAGACTTGAAACTGTTATGTATTTAAAAAATAATTCTGTAATATTAATTTAGTTAACTGTTTTGTTCAATCTTACAATTTTTCTGTTTTCATGCAATGAAAAAATAATTTCATATATATGTACACTAAATATCAGTTGTATTTGCCTTCATTTCATTTTGATTGATTCTTGCAGTCTCTATAAATTATCTCCCTTGTCTTTTTCACATTTGTCATGTGGGAAAATACTATAGCAAGTACATAGGAGCTTTTTTTGTCAAATTATGTTCGCCATAAATCAGCCATTGGTAATACCAACCTTGAGACTTTTACCACAGTTTCCCATTACTAAACTAACCACTCCTTCTGTTGTGACCTAATAAATATATTAAATGTAAATATTCACTTTAAATGACAAAAACAAAATGTTATTGAAGGAGTCTAAATATAGATAGTAAATGATCGAAATGAGCATTCTTCAAACATAAGAACCCAAATACAATTCACTGTTTCGGAATATATATAGTACTGTGTGTTATTATAATAACTTCATTGTTCGTACCTCAAAATGAGTACAAATTTACGTCATTGGTTGAATTTCCATTGTTTAGGCTGTTTTTAACCAATCACAACATTTTGGTGTACGTTTTAAAAAATATTACCCAGAATGCATTAGATTCTGAAACTACAAATTGCATTTTAGTTGAAATGTCATTAGAACTCCTTCTTACTGTTTATTTATTCACTGGTCCATTACAAAAAAATATTTTTAAATGCTTTTGTTGGTAAATTTATTCATTTACAGTCTGCATGTCGGAAACTATCATAGGTATTATCCAAATTTTCAAAACGGTATGGTAACCTCTAGTCTAGATGTCCTTTTTTGACGTTTTGGCGTTGTCTCATAGACTTTTTCCCCCCGCATATTTTTATCTTAAAGAATAAATTATGTTTAATTATCTCCCTTCTATGTCACTTTACATATTAGTTCCTATTATTTTTTTTTTTAAAACTGTGACTAAACTTGACAGTTCGATTTGCAAATAGACACTTACATTATTTATTGAAAGTATGAACAGTACTGTATTATTTCTTGAAAAGAAAAAAGTCTGAATCACCTATTGGGTTTCTATGTAAACTTTGACCTCAGCTGGCAGCCATTTTGAATTTTCGAACAGCATCAAAGTAACAACACCAGTGTTCTCCCCAGGCCAATATGACGCTGCGGTCCCACAGCACCTTCAAAATATTTTCATTGATCCTGCAGCGCCTTAATTGGCCGCTGTCCCTTAATACTTGATCCTGCAGCGTGTTAATTTTCACATTTTAATTATAAATGTTGGTTAAAATTGTCAAGTTGCTGATCACCACTGAGAGGTCCGTCAATGTTGCGCAATAACTGATAACAGCAAAAGTCTCTGATTTACCTGTTCCAGCCTTATCAGACCATGTAATCAGGTTATAGCGTAAATGATCATCAAGAAGATAGATATTTTTAGTAGAAAATAAAAGTTTTTTAAAACTTCAGTGCAGAAATTGGACATAGATCGCAAATACATTGTATTTACGCATCGTCTGTGTGCAATCACTTGGCCATTTAAGTAACAAATTTTTTCATTGGTCGAGAAGAAGAATCTATTTAAACACTACCAATGAACATGATGAATACACGTGATAAATTTGAATACACGTTATAAATTTATGAATGAGAGTATTTGTACGTCAAAAAAGTAAAATAAACTTTTATTAAAAATAACGAGGAGTGATTTATTTTATAAGAAAGTGAAAAATTGTTGCTTTAAAGTAAAATTCGTCTGTCAACTGTCACGTTATAGAAATAAAATATTTTTTTAACAAAGATCGTTAATTCGTCTTTCGGGAAATATATGTACCGAATGGCTGCAGCATTTGTATAATGTCACTAGAACTTCACTGGTCTTAACTTTGACGAATTTGTCAAGTTTCGTTTATATCTACCTGCCAAAGAAACATTTTGACAATTATACACACGGAAGCATAATGTCAAACTACGGACACTGATCAGCTGGTTCATTACATTTTTTATGTTTTAAAAAGTTGTATACCAAATATCTTAAACATTCTTAAAAAATTTTAATGCTGAATCAACATGTTCTTTGCAAACAAGAAATGGGTTAAGCGAAAGGCAGATGATGTTTGCAAACCCTAAAGAGGATATAGACTGAAGAACAGGCTGTCCAACAAAATTACAAACGGTCTTGTTTCTATATCTCTAGAAGGAACAGAGAGTACAGAAATAAATATTTCTGAAGCTGTTCAGCATTGGAATGCCCAGAAGAACATGAGGTTTTTTCTTGAACTATATATACATTTTGACTTATTTAATTGACTGTGATATAAATGCTTTTTGAGTTTAAAATGAATTTATTTCATAAAAATATTCTTCTTCTTTATCATGTATATTAATACTGTGCATTATTTCAATGGGTTCAGTCATTCATGAGAAGAAGTTTTCCTTAGTTCTGCCAATCAGAAATTAGAAAAGGCCATGCTGGCCATGTTTGATGACAAATCATGACCAAAGTAACAACACACTTGGTAAGGAATATCTTAGCTATGTTTGGTTTCATTCTATTCAGTGGTTCTCAAAATGAAGTTCAAAATATGAAAAATTAATAAATGCAGGCCATATAACAGACAACTGATAGACAAGTAATAGCAAGAGCTCACATTGGCCTTTGGCCTTAATTTTAGTGAGTTAGATATTCAAAAAGTTTTGTGATTGTACCTTTGTTTTAGAAAAATTGATACTTCTCAAGAATTTTGAATTCTGTCCTAGTGCTTCCATTGCTTTGTCTGTGATGTTACGACATCCTCCAATGTTTAAATAGCGTAGTTGATTGCAATGTTGTGACAGAGATATAATAGCATCATCTGTAAGGTTTAAACATCTTCTGAGATACACTGTCTGTAAATGTGGACATGCAGACAGTAACTTCTTAATTCCTTTAAAAAGAAAATATACTGTATTCATGACTTTTTTATCATTTATGTATACAAATTTAAATGGTTGAGTGTCCTTGCTATAAAACTTTCTTATTACAATATATTACAAATGTCAGAATTTAGAAAGCCATTAGAATTCTGCAATAATGAATTCAACAATTCCACTAAAGTGTTGTCTTAATGTTTGTTATTGTTTTAACATTATTGAGTTATCGGGCAATAAATAACAGTATTTGTTCATTGATCTAACCAGTAACATGTAATTTACTGAGAGCTTACAAATATGTTCACTGTCAAATTCTAGAATTGAGTGATATAATGCTCATTGATATCCCTACCCTGAGATAAGGTTTACTACTGGAAAATAATGTTGAAATTCACTTGTACTAGTATTAAAGTTTATTGTTTTGTGTTCTATGAACAGACGTCAAACAATTACGTCTTTTACATAGGAGTGAGCTTTTGATATAGTTTTTCATTGAGCACCCAGAAACCACATAGTTTTGCGAACTACCATAACAGTGGATTATGGCAAAAAAAAAATCAAATGTAACATGTGTTACCAGTAAGAGGTCTTAAACAGTTCATTCAAATTTCAATCCTTTCCTGTAGTAGTTGTCTATTAATCATAAGAAACCACAAAGTATGGAATTTTCCAACTCCATAAAAAATGTATTCCTTCTTACAAAGAGGCTCTCTTTTTGCCATTTGGTAACCAAAGTGTAAGGGACAAGTGCATTATCATATACCCAACCCCCTTTGAGTGGGGGTACCGGTATACAAAATAAGTACAGCATATTTAAAGTTCACTTAAGGGGTTGTCTTGGATTTGCTATACGTTGACCCTGAGTTCATTTACATGTCTTTTAAGGCCAGTGAGAGTATAAATAATTATATATAGTCAAATGCTATAACATTGGAATTTTTGTGATGGGTTTAGTGTTGCTTATTTTACAACTAAAATATATTCATGAGCATATATGCCCAAGTTTAGTTAGGATCTTGAAGCATGATCAGAATCAGCGATCAATCAGAATGCTAATATAAAACCTTGCAAGCAGGTCTGGCAGTTAAACTTAATGCTTAATTTAAACTTATTGGAAAATAAACTACTTTTCAGTTTATATATTTAAATTATTTATTTTTTTAACATTCACAAAGGCTTGCATACTTTAAACAAAGCAAAATAAACATAAACAAATACTTTCATGGACATCTGAAAAATCCATTACATCAGCCAATTCATTCACTGCAATAATTCCCAGTGTAAACTTTTACCTTCTGAAGATATTTCTGTCCTTGATTCTTTTGCAGAGTTGATATCAATCTTTCTCAAGTTTGAGCATTTACTGATGTGTCCTAATCCTACATCTGATATTGTACACTCACTCAAATCTAACACTGATATCTTGTCATGTAAAAACTGTAAAAGAAAGAAAAGACAATTTATACCATGCAAGATGACATATGCCGTACTCTATCATCATCATTATGATACTGAACTAAAAAAAAAATGATATGTATAATTCTATGACAAATGTAAGAAAAACAATAATTAGAGAAAAGAGACTTTTTGAAAAAAAAGGTCCTTAAATTCCGTTCTTACCATGAGTACATATAGACGTAAATAATTGTTTTTATCAATTAACATTGACTGGGTACTGTGGATTCATTAATATTAGTTGGATACCAATTTTCGTGGATTTCGTGGGAACAGGGTAACCACGAATTTAAATATTCAATGAAATACAAATTTTCTAAAGGAATGTATGCAAACTTTTTTAAAACCACGAATTTAAAAATCCACAAATATGTAAGTTTCCCTCTATCCACAAAAATTGGTACCCACGAAAATAAAGGAATTCACAGTATGTAATTACCTGTGTGATCACCTGTTTGACAGTCAAGTGCATACTGAGGGTTGTAAAACTATGCAGCAGGTCTGGATGGGGTTTAAAGAAAAGATAATTATGGGCAAAAAGTGCAGAAAAAAGGGCAAACAAAATAAAGAAAGAATAGAGAAAAATGGTCTAAAAAGTCAAAGAATAAAGAATTGAAGAACTCTCAATCAAGACTCTCATGTAAGGTGGGAACAGCAACCTTAACTGTGATCCTCTATACAGGGTGAATTCAATGCTTCATGTAAGTAAATGAACCTTTACAACATCTCTTGACAGGTCCATCAGTGGCATGTTGCAATGCAAAATTTCTGCCCTTATCCAACATAACCATGATAACCCCTTTTTCAAGAGGAAGTCAAAATTTTCTGTCCTTCATCAAGGTTGATTCATTTTGCAAACCAACCTGTTTACTGCTAAATTTATTCTCAATATTCAACCTATCATTATGATCATTGCCGGTACATGCATGAAATATTTGCCATTGGGAATTAACTGAACAACAACCAATCAACCAATATACATCTATTCTATACAGAAAACTTAGATGTCACCATATGATTGATTTTGATTTTTGGTGTTTTAACGCCACTTTTAAGCACCGCTTTTGGGCTATTTCGTGGCGGCCAGTTTTTATTGGTGGGGGAAGCCGGAGTGCCCGGAGAAAACCAACGACCTTCGATAGGAAAACTGACAATCCTAGTCAATTAAGATTGGAGTCAAGTGGACCCGCACGAGCAGGGTTCGAACTCACAACCTCAGTTGTCACCATATGTGATCATTGTTTCCATTGTAAGTCTACATGAGCTTGAAATTCTTTTCATTTCAATTCTAATATATTCTTTATACAGTTTTATGACATTCATTTATTCCAAAGCATTCCATACGAAAAATCCAGAGATCTTTTTCATGTTATAATTTTGATTTTTTTATGTGCTTAAATTGAAGATGTTAACCACATGATCATGTACCTTATTTTTCCAAAACCTTTATTTTAGTGTTGAAAAACCCATGATTTAGTCAAATGTTGTACATCTGCATGTATTTGAATTTAAGTACGTAGCAAACATCCATGAGTCTAACAAAAAAAAAAAAAAAAGAACAGAAATAAAATCAATGTTTATTTGACATATACTGGTTTCTTTTACCTTTGAAGTGTGTGTTGATTTTAATCTTATTTAATTCCTCTGTATGTCCTTTCTTTCGGGACAGAAAAAAATCATACCTTTTTGATGTTAGAATCTGTGATAAATCCTCTTTTTGTCATCAAGTACAGACATTTATCTTTTAAATTTGGTGGTAAATCTTGAATTCCATTCTCATTCACATTTAAGTGACTTACAACAGAATCTACACACCTACAAAGACAAAAATTTCAAGCTATAAGCCAGGAACTTTTTTGGGGGGTTTTAGTGATGAAGACTGTATTGTCTTCTAATAATTCATGTTAAATGATTGAAAGGGGGCATTGTGATCCTGACCATTAAAACCTACTGACCTAAAGATCTAAAAAGTCTTGTTCTTTCCAAGTAGCATTATCAACCTATGTTTGGTGATTGCTGTACAAGTTGTTTAAAAGAAAAACCTATTAAGTTTGTCCAAATTTCATTATCTGCTGTGATCTTGTCCTTTGACCTAGTGACCTCAAATTTGATAGAGGTCTGTTTCATCCCATGGGGCATTATTACACCCTGTTGAGTAAAATGCAAAAGATAACATTTTGAAACAAAACAATTACTCAAATTTCAGTCTATTATATGTAGGTATTGTGACCTTGACCTAATGACTCCAAAATTAATAGGGTTCTTCCTCACCCCATGAGGCTTTATGAAAGCCAAGTTTGGTTCAAGTTGGACATATGGTCCAACAGATATAATTTTGAAATCAATTTATTTCCCAAATTACATTCCACCAAAAGCTGTTGTGACTTTACCTTTGATGTATCGACCCCAAAATCTAACTAATTCTTCTTTGTCCCATGAGATGTATTACCACTTGAACCAAGTTTGGTTACAGATTGACACACTGTTTAAAAAAAGAATCTAGAAGCCAAAATTTTGCACAAATTTCAGTGTATCAATTGCTGCTGTGACCTGACCTTTGACCTATTGGTCCCAAATTTGAAAATCAATAGGGTTCCTCGTGGCATGAAATTTCATCAGTTATGGTGTCCTTGGACAAAAAGTTATCATTAACTTGAAGGTTTGCACCATGACAGCAGACATCTTGAAATCCATAGTTTATATTTCTATGACTGAAAATTGATATGGGGACGAAGTCCCCAATTACAGTAAGAAAAAACTTTTTTTTTCTAATTTATTTATTTTCCTGCATTTGTGCACAAATCTATAACTTTCTTCCAGTCTCGTTTGTCATGAGACTTTGAGTAAAATATAGGAAGGAGCTTCATATTGTTTCCCACAATTTTTTTTTTTTTTTGATTACCGAAAGAATACTGCCAGTTAAACACAATTAAAATAAATTCAAAACAAGTTAAAATGAGTCTGAGCTTATTCAACATACGATTTTATAGCAAACAAAATGCGTTCTCTTGGGAAACTCACCTGATCAATTGGTCAGATTTCAGTATCTGATAAGAATATAACAAGCCGACTTGATATCTTCGTCGTTTTAAAAATATAAATTATAACAATTTTATTTTAATAATTCTTTGATGTGAAAAAAAAACGTCACCTGATGATAGCGTTTCTTTTTTTACATTGAAAATGACGTCACAATTAAAATCCATAACAATTATGACAACAGGATCAACATTGGAAACGTTTCCGTATTTCAGTTTCTTTTTCTGATTCTGAAGTTAAAATATGCTTGAATTCAAAAAATAATTTATAAGGACTTCGTCCCCTTTCACAGGTACCACCTGCCACATATTGTCAGTTTTGAGGTATATTACCAATAAATGAGAATAATACTCATTTATGGGGATCTTTCCTGTTATCATGGTTATGGTAAAATTTTGGGTACAAGTCAAATCGGCACCTATAGAAAAAGTCAAATTGGTATCTGGTCAAGTCGTCATCCAGTCAAATCAGTACCTATTTAAAGTTATTTCGACATTTTGTTAGTGAATTTGGCACTAAATATATTTTTTACCTTTTCTTTCCTTTTAATTACAGGTATTGGGAGAATAGTTTTTTTTCGTTTTTTTTTATATATTTTTATTTTGCAAAACGTACAATTGCAGAGGTTAATAAAAAATTAAAAGATACATTTCCTACATCATTAAAAAAGTCAGCACATGTAATTAAGCAGTTAGAATACACAATAAAAAAATAATCAGTTATTTCCTGTTTGAAGTTTTCTCATATTTTATTAAGTTTGATTGGGTATCATTTAAAAAAAATTACGGTATTAATTATAAACAATAACCTGCTTGTTGTTTTAAACATTTTCAAGTAGTTTTTGATGTTTTATAATTTAAATGACTTAGATTCAATAAAGAAGCCATTACCCAAGCTATTGTTTAATCCAAATAATTTTATGTCAATTATGAGGATAAAACAAATTTAATTATTGTAATCTAAATTGTTTTTACTGCATTTCCTATCTATTTATATAAAATGAGTAACGCTGGCACCAATTTTTTATGTTTACTAGCAATGAACAGTTGTTATGAAATGGAAGTTCCTTGATAATGTACGTTCGAGTAGGAACAGATATTATGGCATTGTTTATAACAAAGTTTCCATTGCAACTTCTGTTATGCATCACAAATATACGTTGACACCTCATGCACCTTGAGCGAAAATATCTTAAAATATATGCAAAAAAAACCCATATTCTTCAATAGTTTACTTGCAAAGTTAATGAAGTTTAAGGTGGTACCAAACACATCGACTAAAATTAATTTGGCTTGTTTATTTCATTTTCATAAAATTTTGACAAAATATTTACTTTGACCCTTTGACAAAAATATAAAAATTTCAAAAAACTTGAACCACACACTTTATCGGAAAAAATTTCATTGGATATATAGCAGTTTGACAAGCACTAATTTTGATCATTGAGAAGCTTAATATTTCCTAACAATAGAACATGATTAAAACGTTGAGCTGATTTTTACAGAGTTATCTCCCTGTAGTGTTATGTACTACCTTAATGGTATCGGATCCGTTCGCCCTAATTACATGTTCGCCCTGAGTCCGTTCGCCCATAGAGTCCATTCGCCCTAATTTTTATAAAAAGAATAATATTAATGGTTTAATTTAAAGTTTTGTAATCTTATTCAGGTATTTAAATGGTAAATATTATAAATGTATACCTCCAAATTCATGAATAAACATTGAAATTAAAAAAAAAAGGTTTTTGTTCAGTTTGGAGCATTAATCAGGCTAATCAGGCTAATTGGCTTCGTTGTTTTTGATGGATTAATAATAAAATTGTTTTTTTAAATAAACAAGTCAGCTTGGAATGAGCCCAAACAATGATGTAAGAACTGTAAGACATTAAAGGGAAATTGTTTTTGCCGCTTGGCTTCTTTGATCTCAAGGTGTTGAGTGAGTTGGATCTTGTTATACCTGTTTGGATTGTTTTGAAATTGTTTCAAGGTTTCAAAATAGATAAATTCATACAGATAACTTGGTCTCCAGTTCCTGAACACTTATTTTTCTTCTTCTTCAAAATACTGTCCACATTCAACATGATGAATATTCTGGCAAGAATATTCAATGCAAATCAAAAGAAAAATAATTATCTGGTACCAGCAATACAACATAAATATTTTGGCGGAATTTTCAAAAAGACTTTAACATAATTAATTCAAATAATTTATATTATACGAGACAACAAAATGAAATAGAAATCAGTGCGAACCCCACTCAGTGCGAACAGGAATTAGGGCGAACGGACCCAGGGTGAACAGGTATTAGGGCGAACAAGTACTAGGGCAAACGAGTACTAGGGCGAACGGACCCGGATTCCACCTTAATGTACCATAGTAATCATGGGTGCCGAAATAACTACTTTGGTGCCGAAAATATACCAGATCCTGATTTGACTAGGTGCCGATTTGACCTGGTGTCGATTTAACCAGGTGCCAAAATGACTATAATTAAAAATTTTGTACTTTATTTCTTCTTCTTCTTCCAAATAGTGCCCTCACTCAATGATTCATTCAACCTGGGACTATTATACTAAGACTATTAATAAGCGACAAAAACCCTGATTTTACTACAAATATTGCACACATAAATAGGAGTAGCCAATTTCATAGGAGCAGTATAATTTATTTGAGTCCTGCATGTGGTTTCCGGTTGTAATGAAAAGGAGATTAATATTCCACTTTTCACTTTAGAAAGTGACAATAAAAATAGGTCATTCCAACCTGTAATCAATAAATGTGATTTAACAACAAACAGAACTCGCGTATCTCATTTCAATCAAAAGTTATAAAAAAAATGGTAAATTTTTTTTCCCACAGCGTCCCTACGCTGTAATCAAGCGAAAGATTTTCAACCTTTAAATGACATTTTTTTACATTTAAGGCGGGATTTGGTGATTAGTAACAACTGTCAAAGATCGGAATATATTTTATCATAATAGTAATCATGTTTACATAAAGGATTATCTTAGTAAATAGCTATCTTCTTCTTCTTCTGGTTAAGTGTAGAACTCATTTTGAGTATATTCTATAAAAACAACTTACAGAAATTATGCAAGCAAGTACTCTGTCAGTATCACTGTCCAAACAATATGGCGTATCGTCAAGTCTCACGCGCGTTTTAACGACTGTGATCTTGAGTATAACTACACTGAACAGCGTAACGGTTTCCAGTCCCGTTACTGCGTTAGTATAATAGTCCCAGATTCAACTTATTACTTAATGTCTAATAATGAATATTGAAACTAACTTATAAAGGCTTCAACAATAACAGATGATTTTTTTTTTAGATTTTCAACTTGTTTTGTATCCGTCACAAAATGATACTATGACAATCGCATGAACTTACGCATTAAGAAGTGTTGTCGTATTTCCATAAACTCTTGATGTAAAGGCAGCCATGTTTTTTATGAGGAGCAACCTGCAATTTTTGACCAATGAAATCAACTGTCTTTTTATCTGTATGGAAATAAAAAGGTTTGTTCGATTACATAAATATTTTAAATAATAACTTATATAATTATATTTTAGGTTGAAAATTAGCCTACTCTCACGTAGAATGATTGAGAAATTAAAAAAAAATCTGAAATTGATATATCATTTGTGATATTGACATAACCGGTTAAGATAATTGTACTCGTATCATAAAAGTATTCAAACACAACCCGGATGCAAAAACAAGAAGGTCATGTGATTCATTGAAAACGTCACCGAAATGGCAGATCAGCCGTCTAAGACAGATATTCAGGCAATTTTCAAACGTCTTCGTTCAATCCCTACAAATAAAGTAAGACACTTAAGACATTTAATTTCGACTTTTATTCTATGACTCTTTAAAATACAAATATCTTTCACATATTCTTAAATGTATCCGTTTTGTCCCCAACATATGACACGCTGGTTATATCAATATATGACATCTGTCGCTACCGCAGTACCGGTGTAAAACACATTAGACATACGCACTGAAATCGAGTAGATAATGTACAGTGTTATTATGTTACGCAACTCCCAAGGTCTTGTTCCGAATTTAGATATGAGGCAGGTGTTACCTCTTCTTCTGTCTGTATAACCTTCAGTCAAGCAGTGTTCTCCCCAGGCCGATATGACGCTGCGGTACCGCAGCGCCTTCATAATATTTTTGTAGATCCCGCAGCGTCTTAATTGGCCGCTGTCCCTTATTACTTGATCCCACAGCGTGTTAATTTTCACATTTTCATTATAAATGTTGGTTAAAATTGTCAAGTAACTGATCACCGCTGATGGGTCGGTCAGTGTTACGCAATAACTGATAATTAGTTTTACCTGAGCCATGCTTATCTCAGCCTTATCGGACTACTGTAAATTCAGAAATTATGGCGTGCATTTATTATTGCGATTTTGTCATTTTAGACTTAAATGCGATTTTAATTTTTACGATTTTGAGAAAAATCCTGTTTAGTTCATATAAAATATTTCAAAATGCGAGTTTAAATTATTGTGTTTACAACTCTGTCGCATTTGTCGCAATAATAAAAACCTCGCAATAATTTCTGAATTTACAGTATGTTAGCAGGTAATAGCGTAAATGATCATCAAGAAGATAGATATTTTTTGAAGAAAATAAAATTTTTTTAAAAACTTCAGTGCAGAAATTGAAGAAATAGATCGCAAATACATTGTATTTACACATCGTGTGTGTGATCACTTGGCCATTTAAGTAACGATTTTTTTCATTGGTCGAGAAGAAGAATCTATTTAAACACGACCAATGAACGTGTTGAATACACGTGATAAATTTGAATACACATTGCTAAAGATATTTACGATGAAAACTATGAATGAAAGTATTATTAGTTGAAAAAATTTAAATAAAGTTTGATTAAAGATAACGAGGAGTGATTTACTTTGATAGAAAGTGAAAAAATGTTGCTTGCAAGGTAAATTCGTCTGAAACTGTCATATTTTTAGAAATAAAATGATCATTGAACATCGATCGTGAATCCGTGCGTTGAGAAATATGTGACAATCAAAACGGGTACAGTATCGCCACAGCTCTGTATAATGTCACTGGTAAATAATTTCAATGGTTTTAACTTAAACGAATTTGTAAAGTTTCGTTTATATCTATCTGCCAAATATAGTATTAAACAATAATACGCACGGAAGCGTAATGTGAAACTACGGAAACTGGTCAGCTGTTCATTTTTAAAAAAAATTTGTTTTAAAAAGTTGTATACCAAATATCTTAACCATATTTGATTTTATTAATTCTGAATGAACATGTTCTCTGCAAATAACAAAGGGGTGAATTATAAGTAAAAGGTACATGTAGATGATGGAAGTAGAAGTTTTTTTCAGACCAATGACTTCTAATGAAAAGGGGAATACACCTCCGTCTACACTGTCAGTATAAGCAGATTTCATTGCTTCTCCTTATCCCAACCAAGCTCAAGTTTTAGCAATTGATAAAAGCAAGCACCATGTTTCTGGTTTCAATGACAAGTGGCTGACTGAGTTTTCATGGCTTAGGAATGTTAAAGGGGGTATAAGCAAAAGTTATTGTGAGTGGGGGTTTAATTTTTAACCCTGAAGAGGATAAAGACAAAGTTGAGGAACAGACTGTCCAACAAAATAACACTATCTAAAAACAATATCCCTAGAAGGAGCAGAGAGTAGAGATGAATATTTATATTTTGACTTCTTTAATTGACTGAATATAAATAACTTTTGTGTTTAAAATCAATTTATTTCATATATATATTCTTGTAATTCATTAATACTCTGCATTATTAAACACATAACACAAAGCATTATAATTCATATTGCATGTCATGATTTATGACTTATTGCTTCAGATCACTCTAAAAAAAGAGTTACGCGCCCTTGAATTTTGCGCCTTAAAAAAATCCTGGGGAGAACACTGAGTTAAGGAACACCAAGAAATTTCTTGTATCGGTAAAAGTATTTACACTATTTACAGGTTCCCCATACATCCTCTCAAGAGATATTATGTACATGTATACACGACCCAAGAATCGCACACACATTTCCAAATTTGATCAATACTATTCTTTAAAATCTAAAACTCGTCTCACCACTATAAGTAAAATTTATAGAATAAAAAAGAGGAGACTACCTTTCCATCACTGAAGATATACACATACATATTTAGAAAAATAATATATATTTTAAAGTTACTGATCATATAGAAATACTACTCATTGGACGATCTTGTCCCCTGAGTAACTCAGGATGTTTATCTGAGTCCTCCCAACAGTTTTAATCTCATAATACATGTATACAGCTGATGACATAATTCAGTAGATATTTTTGTAATGACTGTTATTTGTTCGGTACTAAGGTTTTCACTGAAATTTGAGCAGTCCAAAATCAGAAGCAAGTGACCTGTTAACCGTGAGCAGATTTAAATATATAAACATTTATTGTAAAAAAAATTCCCAGCATAATTTCTGGTGAAAAAGTTACTGAATTATGGAAATGTATCCAATGTTGGTCCTATAATTTGTTAGGAAGATTATATATGGTGTCATTTTCAATGTACATGATGTAAAAACAAAGAAACAATCTTCAGGTAGCATTTTTTTCTCTAATTTTAAAGTATTTTAAACAATAATTTATACAAGTATTTTAAACAATAATTTATACCTTAAACAAGGAATATACCAAGTCGGCTTATTACCATGATTACTGATACAAAAAACTGCATGAATGATTGATCTGATGTGAGTTTCCCCAGAGAACTTATTTTGTTTGCTATAAAATTGTATGTTGAATAAGCTCTACAGTAGACTCAGTTTATTATGTACAGAAACAGAATACATTCAAAATGTTCGTCCTCATTATTATTCTTGGTTAACAGTTATAGATACAAATATGTGGGAAATTGTATGACTTACAACATGGAAGCGTCATTCACCAGAACAGGAACAGGGTACTGCGCAAGCTCAACTGTTAGAAAAAAGTTTGAAAAAAAGTAACAATTTTGAGTTTATTAGTACATGTAGTATATTGATTTTGAGTTTTATTGATTTACTGTTATTGAGGACTTCATCCCCATATCACTACATACAATTGTGTTGGTTCTATGGAGATTGTGATAAATTATATCATGTATACACCAATCTCGGGTTGTTTTTATACGACCGCAAAAAAATTTTGAGGTCGTATATTGGTATGACGTTGGCGTCGTCGTCGTCGTCCGTCGTCGTCGTCCGAATACACAATGGTTTTCGCACTCTAACTTTAGTTTAAGTGAATGGATCTCTATGAAATTTTACCATAAGGTTCAATACCACAATAGTAAGGTGGGGATTGATTTTGGGGGTTATGGTACCAACAGTTAAGGAATTAGGGGCCAAAAAGGGGCCGAAAATAAGCATTTTTGTAACTTCCAGACATAACTTGTGTGTTAGCATATGGATCTCTTTGACATTGTACCACAAGATTCCATATCACAAAGGGTCAATGCTGGGATTGATTTTGGGGTTAATTGCCTCAAAATTTTAGGAATAAGGGGCCAAAAGGGGGCAAAAAACAAGCATTTTTCTAGTTTCATGACAATAACTTGTGTGTAAGTGTATGGATCTTTCTGAAATTTTACTACAAGGTTCCATTTCACAAAGGGAAAGCTGGAATTGAGTGTTGTGGTAATTGCCCAAAACGTTTAGTAATAAGGGGCCTAAAAAGGGGTTTAAAATAAGCATTTTTTAGTTTCTAGACAATAACTTGTGTTCAAGTGTATGGATCTCTCTAAAATTGTATTACAAGGTACCATACCACAAAGGCAAGGCTGTTATTGAGCTTGGTTTGGGGGGAAAGGGGGGTGGGGGTGATGAATCATAAGGGGGGCGGGGGTCAAAAAAGGGGTATTTTTTTTTTTCATTTTTTTTTTGTTTAAAATTTACATCTTAAGTTAGTTATTTTTTATCACGAAGAGAAAGTAGGAATTGAGTTTTGGGGTTAATTGCTCAAACATTTATGAATAAGGGTCCAAATATTGGTCGAAAATAAGGATTTTTTTAGTTTGCAACAAAAACTTGTGTTCAAGTGTATGGATCTCTGTGAAATTGTATTGCAATGTACCATACCACAAATTGAAGGTTGTGATTGAGGTGGGGGATGATGAATCAAAAGGGGGTTGAAAAAATGTGTGGGAGGTAGGATTTTTTTTTTTCCTTTTTTTTTCTTTAAAATTTTCCATTTAAAGATGGTTGTTTCAGATTTATATATGAAAGAAAATAATAATGATACGGTTATATATCATGAGGAATTGAAATTTAAAATTATGTATATTGGAAATTTAGGTTACATTGGAAAGTAATAATTGGCTTGGGGGGGGGGGGGGGGGTGGTTATGGCTCTAATGTTTAAGGAATAAGGGGAAAAAAGGTTAAAAAACAAGGGTTTCCATTTTAATAGACAAATAATTGAGTAAAGAACATTATTTAAAAGCAGTGTAAGGTTGGTAATTCAAACTCATTTAAATATCTCATCTACACTGCTTTTAAATTATGTAAATTGGAAATTTGCCAATAACTTTATTGTTAATAAATGCATTGGAAATTTGCCAACAATTTTAGTGTAATAAACTTCATTGGAAATTTGCCAATATAAAATTTTGCTGATGAAGGTTTTTTGTTTACCTTTAGCCTTGACTATGAAGTCATTTTCTATTTTTATAGCCTTATGATGTAGTTGAATTATTTAATACTTTTATGATGTGTTTAAATGGGGTTTTATCATGTTTATGGTTGCAAATTTATTGTTTTAGTATAATAAACTCCAT